GCACTTTTTATATTTATACATAATTTAAATAAATTTTTACTTATAAACATATAATTGATTGGTTTGTATTGTTCTCATTATATAATATTATTACATTTTAGAATGAGAACAAAGGCAACTGAGGTTGATTGAGGTTTTTAATGAAATAATAATACCTACTTGCAAACTTTGCATTTGTTATTAAATCTTAATATAAACTTATTGGTATTATAATTTGTAGGTAGTTATTTATATTATGTGTACTTACATTACGTATTTAATAGCGTCTGAAAATCCAGCTGGGCGGTAACCTAAGAAAAAATCCTTGAGGCGGCCCACCATTGTGGGCGTTGGGCCAAGCGGGTTGCTCCAGGTACTTCTCTGATCGCAGAGCGGACTATGAAAGCAACCATTTGGTTGTGTGGTTTGCTTCGGCAGGCTGCCGTCGGGGCGTCGTGGTCTAGTGCGTAGGCAATCCTGCGAGGGTTTTAGTGGGTAGTATTGGCTTCTCTAGCCGGTGAGTCCCACATAACCAGTGCGCCAGTATGTATGCAGATGCAGGTGCTATGCGCATTTCCCGACATTAAAAAAAAGTCCCTCGGTGCCTAACAGTCGCCTATGTGTGTGCATCCAGTTCATAGTCGATCTGTGTAGGTATTCTTAATCTAAATCTGTCCAGTCATTTATTTCAATATGAAGGAGTAAAACTTTCGCATTTATAATTTGATAGAGACCTATTTTGAAAAAGAAAGTACTTAGATAGATAGAACAATAAACATGTTATTCTTTAGAAAAACAAAAATATTTTTACAAAAGGCCTTTAGGTAGGTACTTCTAATCTGTTAATGATTTCGATGCAGATCTTAGCTCGTACACGTGTATTTACAATTTTTTTGTAGATATTATTTTCTCAATAGATCAGTTCGTAAGTTCGTAGCAGATAGCGTTCCGTACAGCTGTTGTTCCTTAAATACGATATGGCCTTGTATTCATCACGGGGTCACCAAGATGGGCACGATATACAAGTATAATCCCGATGTAGGTATGCTTATTTTATTTAACATTTACTGATAATTATCTTTAAACTGTTATTGTGCTTGAAAAAATAGTGTTCATTTTTCAGTGGGTACTTACGTCTTAATATTTATTGATATTTAAATAATATGTAAAAACATATCTACAACATGCGTGCCTTGAAAAAAAATAATAGGTACTAGTACGTAAATATCCAACGCTTGTGCGACGAAAATCACGGGATCTATTTCCGTAGGGGTTAATATTTATAATATCTATAATATACTAGACATACAACCTTTTTGAAGTCGGTCAAAAATAGCATAATATAAGATAATTTCTTGAGTTTCTAAGCTAGCTAAAGTACTTGTCTATAATTTTATTTTTCTTGGTTGGTTTCAGAAACAGTTAAGCATATGGGAAGATGGATGTGAAGAAAAGATAATAGCCGAAATGATGTCAGTGTCCTGGCGTTTTAACGCTGTTATGGCTCTCATCATAGTAGCAATGGTTTGAACAGATTCTGTCAAATATTGAGATTAAATGAAAGAAAGTCAAATAGAACACTTTTATAAAAAAAGTTACTTAGCAGAAAAACTATCTTTTATCATTTTTATTATTAACTAGAGTCGCCTGGGCATATCCTAATGAGAGAAGGGCCTTAGGGCGCAGGACCGACGACTTTACGTGCTATTCGAGGCACGGGGGTGAAACCGTCAACTTCCTAACTTTGTATTGTTACTGGGGCTTTCCTAACAGAAAGACTCAATAACTAAACTTGGCCCGACTCGGGACTCGGATCCAAGTACTCCGGATGTGCAGACGTAACCAATAAATATTTATTGGTTTCTATGTAGCTTTTGTCGCTTTTGATGGGATTCTATTGGTGTTTTTCAACAGGGATGCTAGCCACTACACTAATCTATACATCTATACATATAATAAAATTGTAACTAAGCCGAATCTGTACATTAAATATTTTTTGAAAAATCTTATTGAAATATAGATTTAGGTACATTATTATACGGAGGCCGAATTTATAGTTTTTAGAATTTTTGTCTGTCTGTCTGTGACCGTTTCACGGAAAACCACTGCAGGGATTTTAATGAAATTTGGTAATGATATTTCTGTTATCGGGTCAATTATAGGATACTTTTTACTGCGGGAAAATATCTCATATCTGAGAAATTTCTACTAAGCGTCAAAACGTAAATAGGGACAAACCCAAGCGGAGCGAGGGTCAGGCGCTAGTTAAGTATCTAATAAAATTTGAAGTAATATATAAATCAGAACATTTACATCTATTGTAATAAGTTCATATCCAACTACTGCTAATAATATGTTACGTACAAGTATGGTTCACTTAATAACACATCACTTGACTCGAAAGCTAGTCTTTACACTTCAGTCTTGATTATGCCCACTCATTATACAATTCACTAACGATTAATTACGAATATAATATAACTACAAACAATTTTATATTATAATTGAAATATAATATTTGGTTTAATTTGAGCGCATGTTGCGAGCACTTTTAAAATTTCATATATCATACTTCCTTAGATTTACGCGAATATTTTACATTTTAAGTAAAAGTATGTTTTCGGACTTTTCGCGGACTTATTTTGATTTTTGCAATGTTTTGCAACAATCATGCAGCAATAAAATTAAAATAAATGCGCGAAAAATAAATGAAAAGACAGTTTTATTTATTTGGTTGATTCCCCATACAAACTTTTATCCCATTTTTACTCTCTTAAGAGATAATTTCCGGAATGAAAACTATCCTATGTCCTTCCCAAGGTCTTGAACTATCTTATTACCAAATTTCATCTAAATCGGTTAAGTAGATCCAGAAATTACCCCCTACTTCACAAACTCACAAACTTTACCTCTTTAAAATATTAGTATAGATTGTATGACTACAGTTTAGTATATGGGACGCGGCCTTTGGAGGAGTAGGATAGGGAACGTGATAGGAAGTCAAAATATATAAAAATTATTTTGAGGAAACGCAGGAGTCAAAATTTGGAAGTTGGATGGAGACTTAATTTACAATATTTCCATATTCTAATCTTGTGCCAATTGTATTATACATTTACGATTAATATTATTAATGCTACAAAATTCCTACGTCAAACTCTAATGTTGAATTTTTACAGGATATCTACCAATCAACTTTGTTTTGACTTAAAAATGTAGTCTACAAAATAGATTTAAATAATATTATATTACAAAGTATATTATATTAAAAAGCAAACAAATTCCCATTTTATAGGTGTTACAAATTATAGCAGTACGGTATCTCCATACTGCGTACAAAAATGGTCTGCACGTCGGTAACCAGATAACATGCAACGCGTATTTGCTGCGCTCAATATCGGATACGAAAATTAAGGTGCCTAAGAGAAAGTGTTTTAAAAGGAGGTTCTCAACCAGAACTTCGCAATGGGTCACTGCTAGATATAGAAGCATTAACACCACGTCATCAGGGTCAGATCTCAATAGTTCTGATGAATTACTAAAGCCTATATATGAATGAGATTTTTTATTATTATAAGGTTTGAGGAGTTTGATGGATACAAACAAGAGAATTACTTATATTTTTTAATTTTTCCTTTTTAAGATATGTTTAAACATTAAAGTTATACTTAAGATGTTGAATACTTAATTACATTTTGGTATAATTATTATACGTTTTCCTGTAAGACTGTCGTCATTGTACTCTACGAGGCACGTAACTCTACCACTAACTTCCCCAAACTCAGCTGCTACTATTTTTTTCTATTTGTATATCCCCATGACTTGATTACTTATGGCTAGCGCAGGATTCGAACCCTCCCCCCCAACGTGCGTTCACCTTGTCGTGGTGGGGGGGCTCAGTAGTGCCCGGCACATATAACATACATAAAAAAAAAGTCCCCGACGAATTGAGAACCTCCTCCTTTTTTTGAAGTCGGTTAAAAGCCCTAATGAACATAAAGCTTCCTCATAACTCACTGGCTCAGTAGTGTCCGGCAACCCAGCCGGGCGCGAAGCCAAGAAACGCACAGGGAGGCGGTCCACTTCGGTGGACAGTGGGAGGTGGCCCTCTTCGGTGGATGGTGTACCATGCGGGTTGCTCCTGGTACTTCTCTGACAGCAGAGTGGACCTTGGAGCAACCCCGTGGTTGTTGTGGTCTGCTTCTGCAGTCGGGGCGTTGTAGTTGAATGCGTAAGCGATCCTGCGACGCCCCATTAAGACTGGGGAAGGCTTTGTTGGGTTTTAGTGGGTAGTACTGGCTTTGCCGGTGAGTCCCACACCTCGTGCGTAAATGCATTTCCCAACGTTAAAAAAAAAAAAAGGATTCGAACCCTGAACCTCATTATCATATACCAGAGTATAAACAAACAAGGCTTTCATATTCATATTAAGCATTGAATTATTCAAATATATATACCTACATGAAATATTTTTTTAAAATAATGACCGTAACGCATTGTGTACAGAATAAAGACCCCAACACAATAATTATTGAATTTTTTGTCTGCATATGTGCGTTCATGTGACGCGAAAAATACTGAACCAATTTTAACTAAATTTCGTGTAGTGACAAATTATTACTCTAGTCAACAGTAATGATACCTTTTACTCTTTTGTCTCTACAGGAAAATCTTTCACTTCATTCGTGGGAATGAACTTGTTTGAAATAAAACAACGAACTTAAGGTACAAATTTATATTTCAAGCACCTGTACTGCTATAATTATAATACCAAACAAAATTAAAACGTGTCTCTATATAGATATTATATACTATTTATATTTTTAAATAAAAGAAAAAACATAAAATAAACCGTTAGCCATAAACCATAAGAATTATTACCATAGAAAGATAAGTGAGTAGGTAAGAAGTGATTAAAAAATGTAATATAATTTTAACTTACAATATAAAATATTTGAATACTTGAAAATAATAATTTTAATAGCTAGATTATAATAAGAATTTATAAATAAAATAATTTATTTTTCGTTAAGAAACTTTTGTATTTTATCTGGTTCGGCTAATTCCTTTAGGCGATGGAGATTGTCCCACCATAGCTTGAGTCGATGGCGACGGATCATATTAAACCATGGTGTTAAGGGGCCTTCTAATGTTGGAATAAACCTAAAATAATACAAAATTTAAATGGGAAACTTACTCTCAAAACATTTTTATTAAAAATTCAATATATTTAGTGTTCAAAAGTTAGCAAATTGCAGTTAAAATCATGGATTCGGATTCAAGCTTCATTGTAATCTACAAATAATTGATAAATTGATCATCTTGATAAAAATAATAAATGTTAAATACATTATCGAGATTATTTTTTACTTTTTTTTTATTTTTTTAGGCGTCGGTTAGGTTAGGGAAATTATCTTATGTAAGAAGAAAACTTTTAACGAATAATCTCAATAATCGGCATATAATAAAATAGTGACGTTTTTTTAGAAAATGTTTAGATATTCACAGATTTCACCAACAACCCATAAGCTACCACCTACGTATAGGATCACTAGCTTAAAAGTCCCCTAAACTAGCCCCTAAATTAAATTTCGTTTTACGATCGTCTTTAAGCTCATATTTCGAGCACCTAAACTTAGGGGACCTTTTATTATTTAGGTGACCCCTAACTGTCGGTGAAACAGAAACTGTCCCCTAACAGCCCCCTAACCATGCTTAGGGTATCCCTTAAACTTAGGTGACGTTGGTGAAATCGGGCAATAGTCTGCTACGACGTCATGGCCGTCGAGAACCATATTATTCCATACTTCTGTGAGAACTTCTACAGCCTTCTAAATACGACGAAAGAACGACGAAGTTTAACGTAAAAAATAATACACGTGATACAGATACCTACGCAAAAAGTACTGAACCGATTGTAACTAAATTTTGGGTGGTGATAACTTATTTCTCGAATCAATATGTAGGATACCTGTTATTATAGGAAAATCTTATATTTCTTCAGGAAAATATCATAACTGATCCTGTAGAGTTGTCTTTAGAAATTTACATGGCTAACACTGCCGAAACCTTAAGAGATACATTAAAACAATGTACTAGAAATTATAGGTCTTATAAAAGGCCTACAGAAAAATCTGCAATATCATAAGTCTTTCTCCTAAGGTACCTACACTCGCAATAACGATTAGATATTTCTATCGCATATTCTCAGTATGTATGTAAGTCACATTTCGGATAAAACCTTATTCAATTTAATTACTAAAATGTAACTTACGCATTAAATTCACTCTTTGGTACGAAGCAGTATTCCGATATTTCGTCACAATTAGGCTTTATTTTGACATCGGCTTGGAAGAACAGAATGTGGTCGATCTCATGTTCGCCCCACACCCCGTCACCGGGATCGTGGTAGTGCACGCGAGTCAGGAACGTGAATAGTTCTGGATCCATCTAATAAAATTATCCCCTCTGAGAATTGCTTTACGCTCGTCGTATACTTTACAAAGCTTACAAATTTCGATTAAAACAAAATATGTTTTTTATTTATTGTTTACTGCATACATAATAGATAGAAAGTATATAAGTACACATTTAGTCAGAAATAGCAATAAGACAATATATACATAAGGTTTCTAGAGGCAGTTTTATTGCTAAAAACTATTAGTACCAGACAACCTTTAGTGAAAGGACTTAACAAGATGGGACAGACATGGTGCAATCATAGTATAAATAAATATATAAATTATAAAAACATTAAAATTACTATACATACTTTATAGTATGTACGAGTAAATGTATATATGTGCAAATCTTTGTAGAAAGATTTGCACATATCATATACATGTACTTGTAGTTTGAACAAAGATTAAAGAAGAAGAAGATGATAGTTGGTTATCCAGGTCAACATATAGCATACTTTCTATTGCGGAAAAATTCTCATCTCTGAGAAATCTATACTAAACCTTAAAACATAAGTAGGGATGAAACCGAGTGGAAAGAAGGTGAGTCGCTAGTTACTAATAATTATTAATGTTATATAACATTTGAAGCAATAAATAAAAATATGTTATAAGACATGACAACATATTATTTATTATTAAAATTAATAATTTATTATTAAAATACGACATTGGAGTTTACAGCATAATTGAACAAAAAAATATTTACCTGATCAAGCGGAATACCTAATTCATGATTTAGCCTACGCCTTGCAGCGGTAATGACTTCTTCAGGCTTGTTATCTATGTATAGAGGATGACTGCAACAAGCATTTGTATAGTACTCTGGATAAGTTACCTGTTCAAAAAACAAAGAAACTAGTGAATAGAGATTGAAAAACTTATACAATTAAAAACATTAAAACTTTCACAATATAATAATGTGGCTTATAAGTAATAGTCCAATACCGCTAAGCCATTTCTTAAAAATTATGTCTATTAAGCTGAAGGATTTCTATTGTCTCAGCAAAAATCATAGAATGGGTGTTTGGCTAAATCTTAGTGTTAGTGCTATTAACCATTTGTTAGTCATTTATTTCAATCTCAACATAATTAAAAATAAACTTTTGTCCTATATAATGAAACAATCTATAACATGGGTCTAATTTTCTGCAACTATAAAAGCTACCTAATTGGTGACTAGACCAAAAAGGGCATCAACTTTAGAATAGTCACAATAAATTTTTTATAAAAATAAAATAAGGGAAAATTATACTTACTTTTTGGCTAGACCTCCTTTGCATCAACATATCACCTCTTTTATTAAAAAGGAATACACTGAATGCTCTATGCAGTAACACACTACCATCTGGACCAACTTTGTGACAATCACGTTTAGTTGCAGTTCCTATAAAGTTGTCTTGTTCATCCACTAACAAGCAAATGTCCTGGTCATGAGCTTGAGCCTTGAGAGAAAAATTGAAAATATTACTGTAGTTACACACAGAATTGACTAAAATATAATATAATAAAAATATACAGACATTCATTAAATAATCCTTTATATATATATATATATATATATATATATATATATATATAAACTGTGTAATTTCACAGCTAATAGAGTATTAGTAATTCATATACCTGTACAGGTTCTATATTTTCAGTAATATCTGGCACAGCTTTTGTTGGATCTGATGCAAGGAATCTTTTTTGTCCTTTTAAAGTATTCCATATTGAACGAGTAAAACACCTCACAAGCATCTTCAACAAATTATGAAACGAAACTGAATACAAGTTTCATTTACACAAAACTTCAGTGGTATCAATACAAAAACTAATAAATTTAAATTTGAGTGCATGTTATCTTATTAACATCAATCAAAGCAAGATACATCATACATAAGATATCTAACTAGTGTTAATACTTCTTTTTAATATAAATGATTATAGTAAAATATACAAAAAGGAAAGTTCAACAATTAGGCAGTTAAAATAGATAATTATCATAAATGATTATAGCTTTCTTATGGTACCTAAAATGTAATAATAATCTATTAATATCTATACCTCTACAATTTTCTAAACATGTAATAATATGATGAGTACACCATTAATTAAATAATCAACGTGTAAACTTTATAAGTTATAACGTAGATAAGTCATATACGAACTACGAAGACTTTCCGTTCCCAGTTTATAACTATACTCTTTGACTTTCCGAGTTTCGAGTTTCGTAGGCAATCGACATTCGACACTATAATTTGACAATGACAGTTGACATAATAGGGTGACATGAATTAGATAATTTTTATCGATATTTATAATTATTTTTGTATATCATGAATATTATTTGCCTTTTCAAATGCATATCATCTTATATTCTGAAGTTTCGATGCGTATAAATGTTTAATTGTAAAAATAATGTTTTACATATAAAAGGTGTCATAGTTATACTAATTAATAATACTATTAACTAATAACTACTGTACCGATTCAGATAAAATTTGGCAAGAAAATAGTTTGAAACCCTGGGAAGGACAAAGGATATTTTTTATTCCGCAAATCATCCTTTAAGGGGATGAACCGGATAAAAGTTTGTATGGGGAATTAATCGAGGGATGAACCCGAGCGAAGCGAGGGTGAGTGGTTTGTATATTAAATTAAATACTTAGTTCTTTTTATGTCCATAGTGGATGGACTACACTGGTACAATTACCTAGTTATATTTAATGAAAACTAAGAAATTATAAAAGTTTACTTAAATTTATGATGTTAATATTGGTATATTTCAATAAGACTTGTAAATACTTTCAAGACGAAAATATCGATATATCAGAATATCGATATTTTTTTGCTGATATCTGCTATCAGAGTTATCTTTGCTGTACCGGCCAAATTGAAAAAGCCGGTTAATCAGCTGGATGGACTAGACAACAGACCAGAAACAACAAGGACTGGACTCTTAGAAGAAGATCTGATAGATACTCTGATAGTAGTCTTCTAATAATATGATCTTTTCATTACTGGCGAAAGTAAAAATGATTCCACCGGTCCATACAAGAGGTTGCATTGTATTTTAAATAATTGTGGACAATATTTTTAAGTTTTTACTTTTTCTTTTTCTTTTAAGTATTAGGTAATGTAATAGAAATTTCAATTCCTAAAGTCTGATTTTTTAATTCGACGGAATTTGGGCTTTGAAACATGGTCACTAAAAACGGAAAGCATTTTAGCAAAATAAAAAATAAATCTTTCTTGAATTTAATGTTTCAATTAGAAAAACTAAGACTTAAAAAAATATTAATAACTCTAAAATGGTATTTTTTTATTATTATCATATTATTGAAGTTACAATACTTAGTAAGGAAATTATTTTTCCATTACAGGTATCCCTGTCCAATAATATATAGGTTGCAAGCCTTTTTTAGAAAAAAACCTCTTTGTTTGTAAAATATTTTGTTTTACTCTGTTTTATTCTTTTATATTATAGTTAGTGTGCATTGAATGCACAAAACAAAGACTATTTACAATGTCATACATATAGTTTACTTGATCTAATTCTGTTTCATATGTCTTGTTATTTTATATTATAAAAATTCAAAGCAGAAACGGTTTATGATATCTGAATTGTCAAAGAATGAAAGCTGTCATATTTCCGTGGAGTTAAAAACCAGATTTTAGTAGGTTACTACCTGCTATACGAACGTCAACCTTATTATATGCCTTATTATTAACAATTGATTTCATAATTGTGTGCATTGATATTACCGCCATCTCTGGACAAGAAGCGGAATGAAGATGTTAGAATACAAAATGTCATAATTATTACGGTAGAGTAAAATAAATCTTATATTTAGAGTGAAAAAAGAAATTTTTTAACCATGGGATACGGGATAATTATGATCGTTTTGACTAAAATAAAACACATATTTAATTGGTTCTCTATTTGTTGTGCATTATAAGATTAATGGTGCATTTGGTGAGTTTGGCGACATAGGCTTCGATCGTAAAATCGTCACACCGCACTTTCCTTGTCTTTCTCTTCCGTTAATTATATTACAACAAATTAAATTATATGTAAATATTTAAATAAAATTTCTTTCTAAATAAACTGAGTCTGTAAGAGAAAATATCTGTAATGAAACGAGAAGTTATAATTAAATATTATTTAAGAAGTCATAAGAGTGGCGAGTTGAAACCACGAACTTTATAGAAATGCTACGTTTGGAACCGTGTTTATTTTTCAGTTGTGTCATTGTGTATTTTGCTATTTGAATATTAATTTGTGACAGTAGTCACGGGCTCGGTTACACTCGTAATTGTTAAGTAACTAGCGACTCACCCTCGCTTCGCTTCGTTCGTCCCTAGCTTACTTCTTCATACAAACTATCATCCCGATGATTTCCGGGATAAAAACTATTTTACTCAATCACTTTTCATATCATGAGATTTAAAAAAAGGCATATATTTTAGTAAAAAAAAATATATTTTAATTTTCTTCTATACAAAACTTTCTAACAATAACAAACACAAAAAAAAGAATTATCCAATTTGGTGCAGTCGATCCGAAGTTATGCTGACCATACATTTCGGTGATTCATTTTTATTTAAACAGATATAAAAACAAACGTGAGTCTAAGAAAGTCACGTCTTGTACAGGTTAACTTTGAATTTTATGGTAAAGAAAAGACATCTATAAATAAGTTGCGCTATTAGGATTTGATCCTTCAGAGGCGCGAGGAAGTTTTAGTCCTTGTCACCCACGTCAGATGCGGCGAGTATGGCAATTTATGTTAGTAGGTAAGTACATTGCTATTTGCGCTAATTTTTCGTACTTCGTATTTATTCATGGAGGCGTGTTTGCTTCTCGACGGATGAGATTTCATATGGTGCTGATGCCGTTAAGAATACGGTTTTACAGGGAATGTATTGTTTTATTCCCAGGTTCTGTAATCCATACTAGTGGGCGACCGTAATTTTAGTATGGTGCACCATATCCTATTGTAGACCAATACTTTTTATTGCGGGATTCTTATCAGGCCTGGAATGCTGTCTCTGTAGCGAGAAATTTACCTAATGTTATCGACATCAAGAAATGATTTTATTCTGCTCCCTGATTCTACAAGATGAGGACGAGACAGGCTTCTGCGGCATTGGCAAAAGACATCTAAACTTTCCATCTAGATAACGTACTTTCTGGGCTGTCTGATGGCTGGGCTGTGTGGCTGATGTCTTATAGTTGTTTTCGTCTACATAGTTTTTTCCGCTTATAAACAGTGTTTTTTTCCGCTTATAAACAACATGTTGCAATTATTACATCATGCAGATTATGGCTGAGCAGAAGTTCGAGTTTAGGTTGCAAAATGCAGCGCTTAGCTTATGTTTGAAGTAGAGAGTTCCTTGGAGAAGATCTCTTGAATGGGGTGGACGAAACGTTGTCTATTAGTCATGGTCTGAATTTTAAAATATAAGAGTATTGGGATCGAAGAAAGAATCGAAGACCGAGAAGAAAAATAATACGAGTTACGTCAACATAATATGTAGCTCGGTGCTCAATAAAGTAATATAATATTTGACCTAGACACCGATTTTTACTTTATAAAAGTATCGCATCAAAGCTTAGGTCCGTCTACCGATAGAGTACCTAGTTATGGTTACACCTCGTCCATCCGCTCTAGATTAAGACTTACATAGAATAAGAAAGACGCAAACTCAGCGTCTAGTCGGCCCACCCGGCATTCGCCGGACGAGTATGTATTTAGACATTAAAGGAGCCTCAAATCGGCTACATGTCTCACATTTAGTTTTTTTTTCTTAATTTAACTTTAAGTTAGTATAAATACTTTTCGAAACGCTTCGAAACCAAAAGTACTGCTCTCACGTCTTTACTCATAATACTAGCGACTTTCTTTTAGTTCTTACCCAGTTCGTATTGGCTGTAGTTCATATTGATGATCCCGCACTTTAATAAACTACTTTGATTATGCTATAAATTGTTCATGCTATGAAGCAAATTGCATGTAATTCTATGCAAATGTATCCTCAGTATGCTATTTACGTGCACATGCCTGAAGCCATTATTTTGCTACTCGTAACTACCTCTTGGTCCGATTGGTAGGTACTGAATCTTTTTAATTGCATTGATTGACGATTATTATTTATCAATAAAGTGACATAGATTAAATTATAATTTAGAAACAATATAAATATTTTTCACTAGGTAATAGCTTAAAATATATTTTATATAGCGGTACATTAATAAGAGCTAACCGCCATCATCAATCTGAAGGCCTCAATGAACTAGCAAGGTATTGGCGCCATTTTCCTCTTGCAAGTTTCAGGCATAATATTCATCAAAATTTTGCCTCATACTTGCAAGAGAAACTTTTTTATTATTTTATATTTATTAATAAACTGACAGACATCACCTTTAACGTATTCAATACTTGTAAAATACCTATGACGAGTATCGTCTATGCTCTATAATAATTTTAAATATATGCTTGCTTAAAGCATAACACGGAAATGAACATTCTATTTTTAATTATATTCCCTTAGACAGAGACGATGCCTGAAATAACTCATTCGACGTTTACGCATCCTACTTCATTTCAAATTTATAAGAGTTACTGTAGCTTCGTTGCTCTTTATGTTATTATTAAGATATTTAATTTAACAAAACAGAGTAGGATGTCTAATGTAAAACTTGCTATAAGAATTAGGCCATTTACAGAGAAGTTAGTACATATTTTATGTATAAAAAAAATCGAGACTGTTATAAAACTCTCTCATTATTTTGTTCTAGAGAATTAAAATTGGATAAGGACCGAGTGCCAGTAGTGAGTGTTATTGATAAACACACGGTGACAATAACGAATATAAAAGTAAGTATACATATACTACCTATTTATAATATTATGCTATTAACTTTTATGAAAAAGTTATTAAATATTAGATATTTTTTACTGTGTGTTCGCTATTTATTTTAGCCTCAGTGTTACTTGAATCGGTCAATATTTAATAATATAAATAAATATATATATCCATAATAGTATACGAAAGTTATTTTGAATGCGTAAACATAGTAGGAATATTGTACCTACTTATTATAGACTAGTCACTCACCCCCCCTTCGCTCGGCTTTGTCCCTAGGTGCATTTTAACGGTAAGTATAGAACAGACTATATATACATATTCCTATGTGTAATCTATATATATATATATATATATATATATATATATATATATATATATATATATATTACATAGGTATAGAAAAATAACTAAGTATTATAAAAAATAAAAAAATATATATCCCTTACTTGAGAAATGATTGATTTTCCATTCAACCTTCCACACCCTTTTCACCCAATACATGATATGTTTTCCAAAATGAAAACTATCCTGTGTCATTCCCAGGATCTCAAAATATTTTCATACCAAATTTCATCTAAATCGGTTCAGCGGATTAAGCGTAAAATAGTGACAGATAGACGGAGTTACTTTCGCATCTAATATTAGTATACATATATAAAGCTGGCTTTTTTAGTGGTCCTGGTTTATCATCAACGGCTTAGGCTGAACGTTGATAAGTCAGTCAGTGAGTCGCGACGTTGCCTTTAATATAATAATATAATAAAAATAGTTATAGCGAGTGTACCTTAGGTGATAGACATATCGTTGGCTCAATGTTACAAGGTTCTGTGTTACAATTTCAGTACTTATGTAGTTATGAATGCTACAAGGTTCTAAGTGTCATTAGCTACAGTTTTGCAAAAAGAAACCACTAGATAGCAGCACTATACCTACAAAATATTCAATTTTACATAGTTCTATGTAGATTTTTTTTTAAATCACAAAATAACGAAGTTCTATGTTAAACATAGAACCATTCAATTTTTGTTTTTTTTTAGGATATCAAGAAAACTGACTCGGTTTATAGCATTTTTTTTCTTTGTACAGACATTTGACTTCTAGTTTTATTATACATATACGTATATATAGATAGAATAAATAACGTATAATAAAACAGTGATATACGAGTATAATAATGAAAATAATTATAGCGAGTGTACCTTCGGAAATAGACATATAATATTGAGAGCATTTTTATAGACCTTTTTAAGAATTACAATTTTCTTGTACAATGTTTTGATCTATCTCTTAAGGTGGAGCCAACGTTAGCCATATAATTTTTTAAGGACGATTCGATAGAACCATTATTTGTTGTTGAACCGTGGGAATGAATAATTTGCCTGTCGTAAAAGGTATCCTAAATGTTGACCCGAGTACTAAGTTCTCAGTATACAAAATTTAGTTAAAATAGATTCAGTACTTTTTGCGTGAAATGCGCACATCGATTTGACTAAGTTAGTTTTATTATAGGTATAGATAAGAATAGATATTGCTTATGAGATAAACATATACTATTCAGAACTTTTCTGTAGGACTTTTCAAGACCTACAATTTTTAGTATATTGTTTTGATGTATGTTTGTCTAAGGCTTAGCCAGCGGAAGGTTTCTAGGGAGGAGTCGATAAAACCAGTTATTGTATTTTCCCTTGGAAAAGAAAGATTTTCTTGAAGTAAAAGGTATCCTAAATGTTGACTCGAGTAATAAGTTATCACTTCACCAAATTTGGTTGAAATCGGTACATTAATTTTCGCGTGAAACGCTCACACAAAAACAGACATTACAAGCAAACAGACGAAATTTTTAATAACTATTGTTTTGGGGTCTATGTTGTGTACATAATACGTTACAAATAAACATGAACATATATCCCATGGGAACCGTACATTTTTCCGGGATAAAAAGTAGCCTGTTTGGTATTCTGATGTGTGAACTACACTGTATATTATTGTAAAGTTTCATCAAAATCCAATCAGTAGCTTTTGTGTACTGAGCTGTATAAGTTACTATAGTTTTGTTGACTATCCCACGGCAACTCTTTAATTTTTCGGGATGAAAAGTAGCCAATTTGTTATTGTCATGTATGAACTATATAATTGTAAGGTTTCATTAAAATCCAATCAGTAGTTTTTGTGTACTAAGCTGTATAAGTTATTATAGTTTTTCAACTTTTCCACGGGAACTCTTTAATTTTCAGGGATGAAAAGTATCTAAGATGTTGCCCGGGGATATAAGGCACCATCATGCAAAATTTCATTTAAATCAGTCCAATAGATTTGGAGATTAGCCCGTACAAACAGACAAATAGACAGAGAAACAAAAAAAAATGAAAAAAAAACTGGATTTGTTCTATTTGTTTTCTTACATCACCCTGACTCGGTTTTTAGCATTTTTGTTCTATATACAGACATTCGACCTCTACAGTTTTATTATAGTATAGATTTGAAGTGAGCTTTAGATGTTCACACACAGCAGAATATATGTATCGATGGATGCCTACAGTGGACAAGGAGTTCTATGAGGCAATATTCAAAGTGTAAACCATTTTTTATGATAATAAATTTCACTTAAGTACAAGTAATGTTTTTTAATAGTACTGAAACATGATAACATATTATAATAGTTCAAATGACTCAAGAAAATTAATACTTAACTTGGACATAAACTAATATCTTTTAGTTATTTCAATGAAACAAAGTCCTAAGTTCTGGTTAAAATAAATAAAATTTTTTTTTTGGTATCACAAAGTTCTATGTTATTTTAATTTCGATAATATTGCTTAATATCCAAGTCAATATCCAATTTTTAGTTCCTAGAAAGCTTCACGTAGCCCTTAATTATACTAATAAACTGTCACTTAGGGATTAGGACTAATAAGTATACATTTTTCAAAAGTCAACATTTTTAAAGTCAAATTACTAAACTTCATTAAAATTAACATAGAACCTTGTGATAGTGAGCCAACGATATATTATTGCGGACTTTCTATAAACCTTTCTAAGACCTACAATTTTCTAGTAGGTACATTGTTTTGTTTAGCCAGCGGATGGTTTCTAAGGAGGATTCAATAAAACCAGTTATTGCGTCTTCCCGAGGGAAAGAAAGATTTTCCTGAAATAATAGGTATCCTAAATGTTGACCCGAGTAATAAGTTATCACTTCACCAAATTTCGTTGAAATCAGTTCATTAATTTTTGCGTGAAACGCGCACATGAACAGACAAAACGTTTAATAACTATTGTTTTGGGGTCTATATTGTGTACATAATACGTTACAGTCGTTGTTTTAAAAAAAATATTCATGTACAGATTTTGACTACTACTACGCTACCATGACTCACGAGACCGGGATTCATTATACTCGTAGAAAGGAAGTTAGGAGCCAATTTTACATAACTTCTGCTTAATGGGATTCGATAATAAAATTTTTGAAATTATTTTCTATGTAAAAATTCAATTTTAGAGAGGTATACATTTTTACATCATTTTTCCATGGGGACGGAAACTTGATGTAGAAATGTATAAGAAAGAAAAGAAAGAAAAACTTGAAGATTGTTTGGGTTTACACATCACCTTTATTCTTGTTTATAATCAGTAGGAGTTTATAAATGCTATGTTAATTATAAAGATTCTATATTAAGAATGAGATGTGTATAATGATTTGTTATATATTAAAACAAAATAAATATTGTCTTTGTCAAATTTTTTGCTCAAAAATAGTGGGTATCTGTATGAATGCAATGTAAGAGAGCAGTCTAACAGAAATGTAAATTTTGTTAAGGTGAGTGTATCAGGTGCAGGAGACAGCCGCGAGCGCGTCCGCCGCTACTACGCGGATTACACATTTGATGGCGCGTGCGCACCCGCACACCCAGCTTATGCATCGCAAGAAGTGGTGGGTATAACAATTTTAGATCACTATCTTTATAATGCCTTTTGTCCCTATATTGTTATGAAATAATATAAAATATTAAAATTTATTCTATTTTTATTAACAGTTACATAGGCTAGAAGTTTTAATAAACAGCTATTCGAAAGGGACAGAATTTTAATTATTTACATATACATTAAAATATGTTATTTAGTTTAAAAATAACTTAACGGGGGTTTTTATTTAGAATAGACACCTAATTAGATATTTTCGAAATCGGTGCCATCCGATGCAAAGCAAATCTAATATATTTATACTCTATAATCTAATATATACGTAAATATCATCAAGTTCATGTATAATATTTTAACAATAAGTAGAGTTCATATCTAATGATATTTACCTATTAAATATTCATATCTTAAAATATTGTTCGTTGGCACCGACTTCGAAAATATCTGATTAGGTATCTATTCTAAATGAAAACCCCCGTTTAGTTATTTTTTACATTTTAGTGCCTGGAAGTCGGTTTTCATTTCTTTTTTAAAAGTTTTTATTTTTCTATTTTTAGTGTAGGCGTAATAAGCAGGTAATTTGTAAGAAAAAAGTTTTTTAATAACATATTCGATTAAACAATTTATTTAAAAAAATAATTTACTTGTTGATTTTATAAAAAACAGTTTGCCGATTTCGATAAAATTTAAATGGGACCACCTGGAAAGTACTCTTTGAAACAAATAAACAAAAAAATTCAAATCGGTTCAGGCGTCTTCGAAAAATAGGTGAACATACATAAAAAAAAACCAAAGATTCCGACGAATTGAGAACCTCCTCCTTTTTGGAAATCGGTTGAAAAATATTCAAAAGTAGATAAATTAGGTAAACTCCAGACCTTATTTTGATTTAAACTTTAAATGGATGGATGAATAAGATTGAAATATGATAAATCTTAAGCTAATAAAACAGAAAATAAAGTAGCTACTAACTATAAATAAAACAGAACTAACATATAATTTCTCTCCACGCTCTACATTCCATTTCTAAGTCATAATACGTTGAGACTGAAGAAATGTTTATGTCTGCATTTTACAGATATTTGATACACTGGGCCGTGAGGTATTGTCAACAATTTCTAAAGGCCAATCAGCATGCGTTCTTACGTATGGCCAAAGTGCAACTGGGAAGACACATACTATGATGGGGTCGGTGGGACAATTGGGGTTGATACCACGAATTTGCAAGGCTTTGGCTGATGAACAACTCTTCGATGTGACTGTTAGGTATTGATTTTATCCTATTTATTACTAACGACTTTGTGGGTAACGTATTCGTCTGACATTCGGATGAATAATAAAAATAGTATAATTCAGCCGATTGTTGTCGCTTTATCTTTTTTTTCTAAAACTTTTTTTTACTAATAAACGAATAGCCTCGACCAATCCGGCTATTACTTTCAAGATGTCAATTGTGATAATATGAATTTCTGAATACACATAAGATTAAATTCACTTAAAAATCTTTAAAAATCGTTAGCCTAGAATTGTTTTGTTTTTTGACGCTCTCCCACCTTTTTGGGAGGGCTTTTTTTGATAATTAAACATGAATATTAAAAAAAAATACTAAATTCTTTTGTATTTTTAAGTATTAGTTCTCTTTCCGTTAAGAGAGAGCGTCTCGCTCTGAGAGAGAGAGAGAGAGAGAGAGAGTATAATATTAGCTTATATTTTAGTGTTTATTTATTTATACTTTATTGTACACCACAATCATAAAGTAAATACAAGTAAACACAATATCAAAAAAAAGAAACAGAAACAAAAGTGTGCACAAAAGGCGGTCTTATCGCTAATTAGCGATTTCTTTCAGACAACCTTTGGGTTAGGAAATATGGAAGACTATACAGGATGGGTGATGTAAATATTAAATATTATATACAATACATACCACAACACAACCTAATACTTAGAAATACTACATATACATCTATGTATATAATATATATCTATAAATTATACTAATACATATTTAAATTAAAATTAATATAAATCTTGTACAATGTCGACTTCTCATTTAGAAAAATGATCTAAAAAATGATTTTTTACAGATTTTTTAAATATTTGTAATGATTTGGAACGTTTTATGTGAACAGGCAAACTATTCCAGAGTTTGGTTGCTTGTACAGAGTAGGAGCACTCGAAGAATTTACTTAAATGTACAGGTATTCTTTGCATCAAATTCTCTGAAGATCTTAACCTATTCGTATGAGATCCTAGAAATTCAAACTTCTCCTTTAAATAAGGCGGGTATGTTGGATTAAATAACACACAGTACAGAAGAGAGAGAATGTAAATATTTTTTTAATTTTTTGCTTGTTAGGTCAAGGTTACTTCCTTTTCCTATATATAGATTTTTTTAATAATTTATTTACCTTTATTTATTTTGGCTATAACTGGCTTATAACAGAAAAACTTACAGTTATTCATGATGAACCGACAATAGCTGGATAATTTTTTATTCATCCAATTAATTAAATATTAATTATATATATTTGTTACATAGTTGTTGTTGATTTTTACAAGGTTTGTTTACTAAATAAAGAATGTCGTATTTTTTTAATAAGTAGGTACTAAATTATCAATAGATCGTTTTAACTAGTTCGTATGGTTAATTATGATTTTTATAAAAAAGTAATGTGTACTGCAAATAAAAAACCTAATCTTAACCTTGACTTTTTTAATGTTTACATAATTAATAGCTAAATTTCTTACGCAACCATGAGGAAGGCCAGAGCCCATGTTTCTAAACTTGATCATCGGTAAGCAAACTTTAATACATAATCTTATGCTAAAAAATTATATACGGAGACCGCCAAAATAAATGTCAAAGTCAAAAATAGTAGCGTGATTTGCTGTTTAATTTTATGCTATTCTAGATTTCTTTAAAGAATACGGAACTTTTATATATGTATAATGTATTCGTTAAATCAATGTACAGTGTTTAGAATAAAATATTAATAATAAAAATAATACTATATTCTTTTGTACTTTAAGCATTAAGTTCTCTTTCCCTTGAAAGATAGAGTAGCTATAATATAGCTTATTATTATTTTTTTCTTTATTATTATAATATAATACACCTCGTTGTTTTTTTTTATTTATAAACATTTATTCATTTATCACTCAGTACATTTTAAAATGTTATTGTTTGGCTTATGTTTTTGTTCTATGACACTCTGTCTATATTATTTCTGAGTCGGCATATAATGTATGAGACTTGTAGAAGATTTTGAACCTAATTCTTTGGCGAAGTATCAATACAGTTAGTCACGCTATGAGGAGTATATATACTTATATAATTAATATATAATTTTAGTAAAGAAATATTCAAAAGTAAATTGAAGTGGATATAATGACATCTGCATTAGAATTGAATGCTGTTCAATTTCGTATATATGAAGCAATTTTGTCAGATAGCAAATTGTTTCACTATCATTATGCATTCGAGGTAAAGTAGTGATGGGAGTGATTCACGCGATTTTGAAATCGTTCAGCTAATATGTTTTGTTTGTCTTACATATAAGTTTTTCTACTTATAACATTTTCTTTTTAAATTGTTGTAAATTATGTGATATTTTCACATAATATGCAACAATTTTTCAAGAATTCTATTTCTTTATAATCATAGATTTAGTTTAAATAGGTAGGAAAGTTTGAATCTTCAGTAGTTTTATGCATGATTATGTAAAATAATACATATAAGTATGTATTTACAGTAAAGCTCAAATGTATGAACAACTATTTATAATAATATTTCTAGTGCATGTATGTATGAAAGTATGTACATACATACATACGTTTTTATATTATTTTATAACTTTCGACCACCTTATAGACTTAATGTCTTCATGGATTTTAGCATGCTAGGTAGAGCTTATATTTTAATTCTGGAACTGACATAGTAATCACTTTTATATGATAATAAATACATTTATATAAAGTCGATATTTATGTATTTTTATTTTAAGTAATGTTTCTTGTTTCTCGTAAGGCCTACAATTCGTTATCCATTCGACGATCGAGGTTTTTCATCTGATGATTAGACCAAATATTTCAATTAACTTTCAAAGATAAAATGAAAGGAGTCATGCACGTTTGTTAATCTTATATTATTTTCAGTATTATTCAGCGTGAAAAACGTTTTCTCTAATTTCGTTTAAGACTGAGAATGTAATGTTCGATTTATATAATTAGTATTCATAGACTAAGTTGAGATTTTTTTCGCAACTCGCATCTTAGTATTTTTACGATTTAAGGGGCGGGAGTTAAGTCATTGTCAATAAGACGTTAGAGCATTAAAATTTATTATTAAAAAACTATTTATAAAAAGAAGCCTTTTAGACCAGGGTAGAAAGAAGCCTTTAAAAATAATAAAAAGTGAAAAAAAATAATAGTAGGATGCAACCCATTAGAAAAGGAGGGGAATATTATAAAAATGAAAGGAAAAATAATTTACGGGCGATCTGAGGTCGGGAAGGGGATGGGGGTGAGTTTTTAAGGGTAAAAAACTGTTTTTCTCGATTTCCGGCAAAAATAAAAGTCCTATCGAAAAAAGTCATATGACAAAGTTGTAGGTAATAAAAATATCTAAAACTTTTGTATTTACACTTTTTTCACATAACCTCAAAATTTATGAGAAAAATTCAAAAAACCAAGTTTTTGGTTTTTTATTTTTATCTTTTACAAAAAAAATTTTTTTTAACGAAATTTGGTGAAAACTTACCTTTTTATGTCCCAAATACGCTGTAATTTATTTGATTAAAAATATTTATTTTTTCACCTTATTTTGAATTAATATCGACAAAGCACCCTAATTTTCAATCGAAAATTCACCCGTCAAAATATCAGCTTTTTTCAAAAAGTTGGTATGTTTTCTGTTCGTTGAAATCTCTACTTTCCGATGGTGAAAAGAAAATATATGTTACTATAGTAAATCTTCTGAGAAAATGCAAAAACAAAAAAACCTTTTTTATTTCATACACTTGCTTATCATCTGCCTTATTGCAGATGCGTATTACATAATTTCATGTCTGTGTCGTTTATTGTTAAGGAGATCTCACATACCCTGGATGCAACTTTAGTGGACTTTAGCTATTATAATTGAAAACACATAAAAAATAATTATTCGTCCTTTATGAAATATATAAATTACTAGCATTGCCCGCGGCTCCGCCCGCGTTTAGATGACCAAAAACCAAATTCTTAGGTTTTACGTATTAGTATGCTCTTACAATGCAGTTTTTGTATTTTTCTCAGAAATGAGATATTTTCGCGATAAAAAGTATCCTATATGTTGAATCGGATAACCAGCTACCATCATACCGAATTTCATCAAAATCCCTCCAGTGGTTTTCCCATGATGCGGTAACGGGCAGACAGAGAGACAGACAGACAGAAAACTATAGATTCGGCCTCTGTATCGATAATAATGTTTATTTCAATAAGAGTTTCCAAAAAATATTTAATGTACAGATTCGACTTAGTTACAATGCTCTTCGATCAACAGTATTGTTGATCAAAGAGCCTTAAAGAATAGAGCCTTAGAGAAACAGCCTTAAAGAATAAAATAAATTTCTCATTCCGTGAAACCAATTTACATAATAGTCAATTATAACTTATTTTAAATGATAATGATAATAGTTTTGCCTTCGCATTTTGGTAATTTAAAATAGAGTAATTATACCTATCGTTTAATATATTCTATGTTAGACATCATTAAAGTGATTAAACCTTTGCGTTTTCGTGGAATTCACGAACTTCGTTAACTTTTATCAACACCTTAGCTACTTTGTTGGTCGCAGAACGCATTCGTATAAGTTGGAAAGTGTAATAAAGAAAGATAAAAGAGACGTTATGCTGCTACAAGGTCAGACCAACACGCAAGCCTAGCACCCTGGTGATTACAATACTATCGACACTAATATCTACAATACGAATATGTTGGTATCGGATGTGTGCTAGCTGCTAGCTGGTAAAGGTAGGTATATAAACGCGTAGAATTAATATGATAGGCAAAAGGTTTCGAGACGAAAATAAACATTAAGATTTTTTTTTTAAATAATATTAGTAACGAAGTTCCTGTACATTATGTTGTAATTTATAAATTATATATAGTAGCCTGATTCAAGGAAGAAAATGTCATCGAAATTAGTCCGTCTCTTTGACAGTTATAACGTCACAAAATATATCCAAAAGTGTCAAACTTATAACAAACCTCGATTTTGGTCGGCGACCGGCGTTACCTATACAATGGCAAATAAGCCAGATTAAAAGTTGAACAACTCCAGAGTCTTGCAGAATTGCTGAAATATTACGCGGAAGTTTTTTTTTATTTTTTTTTATATTTGAAGGTAGTGGTAGCCCAGTGGTAACGCGCTCGCTTGGGAAACCGAGTGAAGCGGGCGCAAATCCTAGGTCTCACACCTCTGATATTTTCATGTGCGAATCATTTCCAACATGATTACCAATTGTCATACGGTGAAGGATAACAAACATCGTGAGGAAACCGGCATATGTGACAGAACCTAGTAAGTTTTTGAAAGACATGTGAAGACCACCAACCCGCACTCGGGCAGCGTGGTTGACTATGTCCTGATCCTTCTCGTATTGAATTGAGGCCCGTGCCCAGCAGTGGGATGTTAAAAAAAGTGCTGAATACAATACTGCCAATTTGATTAACAAACCAGTTAATTTGAACCATAGGTCAAATAGAAGATATAAGTGACACAGATCAATATTTAGTAAAGAGAAACTGAAATAAACAACGCAACCGAAAAATAAAGATCATCGATAAGTCAAATAATAATTTATAGTGTCTATATCTGAATTAAATCTATAATTTAAACGTAGACTTATTAGGGTAATGCCTCTAGACCTTTATAGTTGTACGACTTCAGCCGCACGTGAGTGTTGATAGCCAAGTTGCGCTACACGTCGCTGTAATTCAGTCACACGTTTCACATTCACTGAAACACCTGTTAAAAACATGCAGGTATTTAGTGGATTTAAGAATATTTTATTCACTCATAATTACTATTGTATTTGACCGACTTTAAAAAAAGAGGGGGTTGTCTATTCGGCTGTAATTTTTGTGTGCGTTATATGTGATATCATCGGCAATTACTGTGAATAAATTTTCATAATTGTTTTTTTTACATACCATATTGAATATCTCAAGGGTAAACCATAAAAACATATAAATAGATTTCAAAAATAATTACATACTTATTTTCTCATACTTAATTATAAGTGAAGGCACTTTTTCAGTAAAAAGTAATTATTTACAGTATTTTTCGTTTTTATTATGTGAGTACACTGATTTTAAAAAAAAAATCTTTTGAATTTAAATAAAATACAATATTTTAACGTAATTCAAGTTATTTTGATTGAATTTGATTGTGCTACAAAACAAATATGTAGTAAGTAGTAGTAGTAGTAATAGAAGATACGTATATTATATCATGGAAAGCCTCAAAAAAATCCTCTGTGTTGGATCAATTTAAAGATATTATTTTCTAAAGTTTGTAGCCACAGTGAGTTAGTTAGGGGAAAGGTGTACGAGATGATTCCCCTAAGGGAGATTGCTTTTAATTTCAATAATATTTAATTTAAAATAGATGTAAAAGCAATTTATGATAGCAAATTTATCGATCTACCGGTTTTCAAAATCAAGCATCATCTTGGACACCCCGGTATCCAAGATGATCCTCAGGGTGTGGGCAAGACGATCCTAGGAATCGTCTTGCCACTACTTTGGGAATTTTGAGGGCTTTGGTAAAATTAATTGAAAAAAAAAACAACTTATTCAAGTTACAAATGTGTTTATTTATGTAATCTTAGGTATTACTGAACTTTGAGATCAAAGTAATCTTATATAAACTTAAATCTTAAAATGCTTAAATTAAACTGAGCAAGCATTTTAATAATAAATCAGTCTTTAAATTACGAATAACAATCATTACAGCATAAGATCGATAGTATTAAAATCAACATCGAACTATAAAATCTTTTAAAAATTAGCACTTAGGACAAAATTAAATCAAAAATTCTTAATATTAATATTAAACTCAAAAACTTTTTAGCTTAGTAGGTTACTTTAGTTAAAATCTATACGCTTTTTCCTGGTGTTCTTACACATAAATCACAAGTAAATTCATCAAGATCATCACTATCTATCCCTGCACAAGCTTGATGACCCCATTTTTGACATTCACAACATTTCATCCATAATTCACCCATGTTATCCTTGGAAAATGTTTCTGTGCAAAATAGACATTCTGTATCGTCTTCTTCTTTAGATGACTCAGACTCGAGGATATAAGAAGCTTTCTTCCTCTTAATGGACACTCCTTTACCTTTTCTTCCTTTTCGTTTTACAGCATCCAGTGCTTTAATCATAGAGTCTTCCAACCACCCTCCACGATTCGTTTTTCTTTTATAATTACGCAGCATATTCTAAAACAATAAAAACATACTTCTGTGTAGTAGATAAGTAAAAGTCAGTAAAATAAACAATGTGTTTGGTGCGAGATGATCCGCACGGATCATCACGTACACCTACCACCTAATCATCTTGCCCCAACTACAATTTTTTATCCTTTATTCGGCTATAACCTAAATGCTTTCTATTTGAGTTATTATGCCATTATAAAAACAAAATAGAACACTTTTGACATCTAATAATACAACAAACATTGCATTTGACAGTCTAGAATAAAAGAAACGTAGACTTAAAATCAATCTTACCTTAGATCTACGTTACACAATTTTTGTTTTATGTCGTCAAACTTTACTCGTCACTCACGCCGCCATTACGAATTGACTGATGCGAAGGACCATCGGGAGCTATGTTCTACCAAAGAAAACATCTAGGTGGCATTAGTAGTTTCTGTGTAATTTAAAAGGATCATCTTACCTCAACGAATCATCTCGTACACCTTTCCCCTACATGTAAATGATAAATCAGAACTTAATTTTTTAAATGCAAGCCGGTTTTAGTCTAAACTCGAGGTTTATTATATCTAGGTTGTTAAATAGTGAATAAATAAATGTAGCAAAGAATTACTAGCTATAAAGCTAGTATAAATTTACGTTTTAAAGCTTATGCTTGCATGTCAAAATAAAATATGTCACCTGCCTAGTCGCCCCGCTTTCAGTGCTTACCTACAGTGTACCCTAGGCAGACACATTGTAATTTGTGGAATGGTGAAGGTGTTTAAGAATATGTGCGCTTACTTTTACGATTTTAAATATAATGCGATAATAATAAATCTCTAAATATATAGAGTGAAAATAAAATCTGGTCAAAATCGTTGAAGCGTATGACAATGAAACATTTTTTAAATTAGAATATTAATTTTAATGTAGCACTTTGATTGATTATTTAAAATTTCATGTTATATAAAAACTTAAAAAAATCTAATTTCAAAAAAAAAAGCACTAAAAAGTAAAAAATAACTGCTTTAATTTGTATCAGCTGGCACCGACTTCGAAAATATTTGATTAGGTATATATAGTAAATGAAAACTACCAATCAGTTATTTTTTACTTTTTAGTGCTTTTTTTTTGAAGTCGGTTTTTGTTTAATTTTTTAAAAGTTTTTATTTTTCCCTTTGTAGTGTAGACATAGTAGTAGCAAAGTAAGGAGAAAGTATTTTAAAATATTCACTTAAACGTTTTAAGTTAGTTAGATGCCAATTTTTATATAAAGACAAAATAAAATTCGCTTTTATTAATAGCACTAAAAATTCTAGCTCTAAAATCCGATTCTAACGTGTTAGGCTTGTCAAATCAAACAAAATAAACCCAAACTCAAAGTATCTAATATTAGCCGTTGAAGAGACTAACCTAACCTAACCTATCCACCTTCTGGCCTTACCATCCGATCAGGTCAAATATATCGAACCACTGCACTATCAACGGAAACAGAAACACTTGCAAAGTTTCAAGTTAATATGACAATTAGAAGTAGGTTAAATTCATCATTCGCTATTTTTCCACCAATCACCAATCTGGAAGTATACACTTTCAAACAAAACAAAAATTGTCCAAATCGGTTAATAAATGACGGAGTTCTGAGATAACAAACATAAAAAGTTGATTGCAAACTTATTTACGTTATGCCTCGGTGGTGTAGTGGCTAGCATGTACGGCTGCACACTCGAAGGTCCTGGGTTCGAGTCCCGGGTCGGGCCAAATTTAGTTATTGAGTCTTTCTGTATAGTAAGTCTCAGTAACAGCCCGGAGTTGGGAAGTTGGCGGTGTTTCACCCCCGTGCCTCGGAGAGCACGTAAAGCCGTCGGTCCTGCGCCTTAACTCTCACTGGTCGTGTCGAGCAGTCGTCCCACCGGAGTATGAGAGTGACAGGAATAGAGAGTGCACCTGTGTCTCGCTAGTCTCAATGAGATTGGCCGCCGTGGCCGGAATCGGTCAGGAGAACATCATCATAATAAGTGACGTCAAGTTTTTTTTATCTTATTAAGTAATATAGAAAAAGTCTATTTTATAATATTAAGCTTTCTAAATATTTTAGCTTTCTAGAGATATACAATGAGCGAGTTCACGACCTCCTAGCTGGAGAGCCGAATTTGCCTCTCAACTCTCTTCCACGTAGAAAAGGCAATGCGAGGAAAGACCTTCGCGTCAGGGAACATCCAACGAAGGGAACTTATGTTCAAAGTAAGTTTATATTTAAAATATTCCTAACTTACTCGACGTGCCTGAACAAATGAAATAATATAAAAATTAATTAAAATAATATTTCAGAAGCGTATTGGATGAAACTTATAATTAAAGATCAATACAATAATTTAGATGTTATGAGAATCTTCTAAGCATTTTAATTAGCCATTTTAAAACGTCAATTTTTTTAACTATTGAATTGAAAACCTTGATTTGACCTTCTTGAGATAAAGTTTTAAGTGAAATATGTTGGAGTCCAAAATATATCGGAAAAATACAACATACGGAAATTAAATCTTTATCCCTGACACACTTATGCTGCAATAAACATAATAAAGTTATTTTTTTAGAGTGACAACTTAATTTTTAATGATGTTCACGTATTTGTTTATACTGATATAGATAGATACCATAATATTACCAGTTATAGAACAGGACTCTGCAATATTAACGCAAAGTTTTATTAAAAATAGTTCGTATGTACATATAATTTATGACTTAAAAAATATTGATTACACAAAATCAAATATTGATTGTACTTTATAATATTATGGTACCACGGTGTAATGTGTCCAGTAATATACTATGTAAATTAGGCATATATTTATTTCCTTTCGGAAAATTAATATCTACCTGTTAGTACAAAGAACATTATATAAATATATTTTACTGTACCTATATTATGTACTTTAAGCAATTTGGTTTATTTCGTTTCCGCGTATTAAATTATTCATAAAATTTATGCTAGAGTAATTAAAGTTGTTTTATAAATAACGTTGAGGTTGACTGTGTTGTTTGTTTTGTTTTTCAAAGGTACTATTTTTTTATTCAGGATCACCAACATGATATACAGTAAGTTAACAAAATTAAACAATTGTACAGAGCAGCTCCAAACCTAACCGTTATTAGATTTATAGGTAACCACTACACAATAACACAGTAACACTGAGCATTTAAAATTTAAAACTATGGTTCTCATTTCTTAGATCTAGAATCTGCTAAATATCTATATTTAGTAAATACTTACAAATTATTTACAAATCTTGTTTTTTTTGTTTGTGCTCTTTCATGAATATATTTTATTTGATCAGGTTTCAGTAGTCATAGCTACGATAAGTAACCTAGGATATTTAAAATCATAGTTTTTTTGAGTGCATATTCGGAGAAAAATATGCGCGGCATAGGTTATTAAAGTCGAGAAGAGGGTAGGTGTTTAATGATTGATACTAAATTTACACTACAATAATAAAGTTTATTAAATTTATTACAATACTTTTAGATCTTCGCCGTGTAACAGTGAACGATGTAGAGTCCCAATTTCAAAGCTACAATATCCGTATCTGCTTCTACTTAATTTGAGTGTATATCCGGAGAAAAATTGGGGCGCGTTATAGGTTATTAAAATCGAGCAGGGGTTGGTTGCTATACTTACTAGAACCAAAAATCGATACCACTTTACGATTGAGTAAATATTACAATATTTTTAGATCTTCGCCGTGTAACTGTGAACGACGTAGAGTCGCTTCTAGCCATAGTACACGAAGGTACACGAAAGCGTCGCACAGCTGCCACTAAACGCAACAGTGCTTCTTCAAGATCCCACGCCTTGCTTGAATTGAAAACTTCCCGCGCCACACTGCATCTTGCTGATCTTGCCGGCAGGTATGAGTTGCTTATAACATGGTAAAACATTCTTATATTTGAACTAGTTTTTCATCCTCGCTCCACTCGGGTTCGTCCTAACTTAGTTTTAACGTTTAGTATAGATTTCTCAGGGATGAGATATTTTCCCGCAGTAAAAAGTATCCGATATGCTGACCCGGATACCCAGCTATCATCATACAAAATTTTATCAAAATCCTATGGTTTTTACGTGATGCGGTCACAGACAGACAAAAATTCTAAAAACTATACATTCGCCCTGTGTATCGATAATAATGACTATTTCAATTAGAATTACAAAAAATAAATAATGTAGGTACAAATTCGACTTTATTATATGTATAGATTTTATTATATGTATAGATTTTCAATTTTTAGTTATTTTTATGTTATTTCATTTAAGTATTTATTATGGAGTAAATTTAAAAATAGAGAACAAAACAGTTTTTAGTTGAAGAGATTTTAAAATAACTTTTTTTTTCTTATGTATATTGTATACTAATATATAAAGCTGAAGAGTTTGCTTTTTGTTGGTTTATATCTTTTATGGATATCTTTACTTCTTTGTAACTGTATAATCTGAATAAAATATTTTTTTAGTCTGAGTTCCAGAGGTAAATAATTTCAGAATAATAGTTCTTACTAACTTTGACTACCATTGGGCGAAATTTGACTTTGAGAGCTTATTTTGTTAAACTAAAGTATTGCATTAATTTTTGTTAAATGATACTTTAAATATAGGAAGATATAATAATATGTACTAACAGCAATTATCACGTATAAAGGAAACTGTAAGAAGGAGGATTATTATAGCCTTGACCCTAAAATTAGTGCTTGATAAATATTCATATGAATTGAATATAATTTAATATTGATAGACTACGTAAAGTGTCATATGAAAATAAGATATAATTATGCAAAAATCCTTGACTTTATCATATTTAGAATACTCCAAGTGTTCCTTTGATTATATTAACAAATTGCAGCTCCATTATGAAATCTTTGCTTAAAGTGGGTTTTAGTACAATATTTCTCACATAAATTCTTAACATTTATTTTTAACTTGGGTCACTTATCACTTTCGGTTCTGATAACAAATTTTGCCTTAATGATTTAAGATATGAAATTATATACTTTTAGAATACAAAGTTCTTTGAAAGTGCTTCAATGATAAAATTTAAAGAATGTGTAAATATTTTACTAGTAGATACCTACTAAAAATAATAATATTTAAATGTTTGTTAAGTTTTTTTTTATAATTTTTAAAATATTTACAACTTTAATTTTAAGGTTAAATATAAAGCTTAAATATTCAGTGCAATATCAACTGGTTTTTAGGTAATTGTTGTAAAATCATAGAACAATAAATGTGTATATTTCCTGTAGATTCTAGAGAAAGCGGAAAGCTCTACCTTCATCCCGTCAATAGCATTATAGCACAGCTTTTAACTTAAGAGCTCATTATATTTTTGAAAACTAATATAAATAGACTAAAGCTATCTAAACATTTCCAATATTTTATATAAATGAAATAACTTTTTTGCGTTTTTATTTTATTTAAAAAAAGCTGGCCCGACTGACGTTGCCCTGACAAAATTTTAATGTTTGTGACTTTTGAGTTCATTTATAGAATACTAGCAAAAGCCGCGGCTTCGTTCGCTCTAAAACTACACAGAACTCTAAGTAGGTTCCATACCATTTTCATCCCCTATTTTACATCCTTATGGGATGAACTTCGAAAAATGCTAAAACACGTATTTATTTAATTGTATTGAAGAGCATTAATACTAAGTTTCAAGTAATTCTGATCATAAATATATAAATGGATTATATTGTAACGTGTTTTCCTGTGGTAATTAGATAATTTCATCTATATCCCGGGATAAAAAGTAGCTCTTGTCACTCTCCAGCCCTCCAACAACTATCTCCACACAAAAAATCACGCCAATCCGTCACTCCGTTTCAACGTGAAAGAAGGACAAACAAATAAACACGCTTTCACATTTATAATATTAGTATGGATATATCTTTAAAGAAAAAAAGATATTTAGTTTTCTCTGTTCTTCCGAGCCAATTTTGCAAACAAATTTACCAAACAAATTTACCAAATTTGTCTAGCCGTACCTATTCAAGTTATGCGCTTAAACCAACGAAAAGCATTTCATTTTTATTTAAATACACATAGATGTCAAATATTAACATAAATATAAGAAACCATCATCATTAATAGGTATATTATAACTACTAACTTTTTTCTTTCTTTAGTGGCTTAGAGATGACTACTAACTTTAATCGACTTTGGTCGAGATTAAAGTTATTAGTAAGATTAAGTTATTATTAAAGTTAATTTATATTAAATTATTAAAATAGAATTATAGATTATTATTAAATTATTAAAGTTAAATTATAGATGATAATTTCTTCAACCTTGTAAGATCGTCGGCCACTTATATACTAGTTGTTTTACAACGAATTATACATACCAATCACTTAATTAAAACCTTGTAATAGAAGTTATATTCATTGAAGGCGGTCGACTTTTAAAACGTTTATTCAAAAGTGTTTATGTAAAATAAATGCAATTTTATTAAATATGCTATAAATAAACGATGACCTAAATGCAACGTACTTGTAGTGAAAAAGCTGGTTGGGAAGGTGCGGGCGGCCGACAAAAGGAGGGCGCTAATATTAACAAGTCATTAGTAGCGCTGAGCAATGTCATCTCTGCTTTAGGTAAATATTTTTAAACTAGCTGATCCCACAGACGTTGTCTTGTCAAAAAGATATATGTGTAAGATCTTTGAGTTCATACAAAAATCCTTTAAAAGAAGCACTATTTTTCTCAAATTAACCATTTTCCCGGCAACGTTTCTATTTTTTTTTTACATACTTATTCATTAACTAAAGTAGTTTAACCAAAAAGTAACATCATCTACAAGACACAGACTACACCATTACATAACATAACAATTTAAAGGTACTATTATCATGATTGTTAATTATGTAAATGTTATTGAAACAATTTAAATATCTTTGGAATATTCGCAGCAAGGTACTTACGACAGCAAGTAAGTAATGAGCTATCCATATATTATTCTATATTTCCAAAGTCAAAAAGTGACCAGATCATAAGAGATTTATACGTATTTTTTCCCCTGCATATTTTATTTATATTTTATCTCGGGATATCAAAAAGGTTTTCGCAGAATATATGTTCGATAGAAACACGACCTACCGATTTTGATAGAACTTTCATGGATGGGTATACGATTAAGGTTAGAGAGTCAAGTCATGTTATAAAAATAATAACAGCGAAGAGGCCGGTGAAAGCTAATATTCGATAAGGAAATTAAAATAAATAATTGTCATTGTATGTTAGTTCTTTTAAAGTAATTTAAGCTGAAGTAGAAAAGTTAGCTGTTAATTGAATTAATTTTTTTAAATATTTTTTTTAGTTAGTGGTGAGTCAGGACGCCGAAGATTTGTGCCATACCGAGATTCAGCGCTCACATGGCTTTTAAAAGACTGCTTTACAGGTGGCGGCAGTACATTTATCGTTGCAAGTAAGAATTTTTGTTTAAAAGTATTTAATTCTAAAAATCATGTAGGTCAATATTAAGATAGCGAGAAGGTCGTAGGTGCGATTAATTATTGCTAGAGGTAAATATTTATATAAATATCAATATATTTATTCACATTTCACATTATATATCTATTGTACGTGACACATTTTGTGATTAACGATAACCAGTTAAGTTTATAATTTGAACTCTCAGAAAATCTGGTTTATCATCCTAACCTAGCTAAAAAAGACTAGGTTAGCAATTATTACTGGATGAATTTTAATAACATTTTCCATTTTGAAAGGCTAAAAATGTATAGTACAACTTAAAAAATAAAAATAAGTCTTATTTCAGCCCTAAAAATAAAAAAAAAGACTGCGAACAATAAAGTAATTAACTTAATTGTAGATAAAGTGATATATTAAGCTCAATATACTTATGAATTCAGTCCTGTTTAACGTCCCACTGCTGAGCACGGGCATCCCTTCAATACGAGTGGAATCAGGCCATAGTCCACCATGCTGGCCAAGTGCATGTTGGCGGATTTCACATATCTTTTGAAAACTTGCTAGGTACCTCGGACGTGCAGGTTTCCTCACGATGTTTTCCTTCATCGTAAGACAAGTGATAATCATGTTAGAAACTATTCGCACATGAAAATATCAGAGGTGCGAGACCCGGGATTTTAACCCGCTTCTCTTGGTTTCCCAAACTAGGGCGTTACCACTGGGCTACTGTGGCTATAATATACTTATATGTTTAGTAAAATAAATCATTATTTCTTTAGCTGTGTCACCCAGTGTAGCGTGTTACGGAGAATCAGCGTCGACCCTTCGCTGGGCGTCCCGAGCGCGCCGGTTACCAGATACTAGAACCAATACTTCTAACACAAATACAAAAGCCACGTTACAGACTCAATTTGATGCTATATTAGCCGAATTGGGTAGACATTATATACAATATGTAAGTATTAAGACTATCTGTCTACATATATCTATATGTAAATATGATCAGTTACTATATTATCACTAGCAATTTTAATCCATATCGGTCTATATACATATTTGAACTTTTTACTCTAAATGCATGTCATGCATGCTATTATACTCTTTAGAAACTGATTACGTTATTTTAAAACAGATTAAATATAATATTATAAAAAAAATATTTTTTATTGTATTATATTAAACCTGTTTTTTTTTCAATTTTTTCTGTAGAAAGATTATGTCTATTAATATTTAATAAGTACCTGGGTGACCGAGCTTCGCTCGGAGTTTTTGGCCTAGAGTACAATTTTCTTTTTTTTAACTTGAATAAATATTAAAAAAAAAACTAAAAGTAAAAACTTTGTATGCGACCGAGATTCGAACTTGGACACCTGTGATTTTAGATCTTGCACCTTGGCCGCTTGACCACGATGCTTACACCAGAGCGTGCAAATTACTGACCATATTTTGCGTGGAATAATACAAAAGAAAACTGCATGAAAACTCGAAAACACGCGTTTTTTCAAACATAAGACTAATCTAGATCGATCTACCGCCCCCGAAACACCCTGTGTACTAAATTTCATGAAAATCATTGGAGCCGTTTCCGAGATATTATATATATAAATAAATAAATATATATACAAAAATTGCTCGTTTAAAGATATTAGATAAATGATACTCTACGTATACCTATTTATTATAAAATCCTTGTGTTATTTTACAGAAGCCAGAAACTGGAGAGCTCCTGTATGATGATAAACATTGGACATTGGAAATAAATAAAATACAAGGTAACATTTTGAATAAAAAAATCAAGATAGGTAATATAATGAATTTGCGGTATCCAAAAAATGAGGCCGATAACTCAGGATCAACCCCATCATTAATAGCCAGCGGTAGCTTAGATGTAATAAATAATATGGATAAAAACGGTAAAATTACTAATGAAATAAACAAGGAAATAGATAAGTTGTTTGGTCCAGCCTTAGAAAGAACTAAAAGTGGAACTGATATAGAAGTTATTGCACCTTTAAGAGATAAGAAACGGCATTTTAGGTCACAAGAAATACTATCTAGTGATTTTTCAGAACGAAATCTTGATCATCGTTTTTCAGACGTCGGTATCAATGAAGGAAAAGTTGAAGATTGCATAAATAAAACAAAGACATCACAAGTGACAGCTTTGCATAATAACCAAAGAGCAGAAATTATAGCTTCAGTTACAGAGAGACTTTATTCTAAACTTAAAAAAAATGAAAATGCTTCAAAAGTTGAATCTATGAGTGATAAAAAACTACCGAGTGAATTAAAAATTATGCAACCACTGAAAGAACTTAAAATTTGTTCAAACGCACGCCAACGACTTATGGAATTAAGTAAAAAAGCTTTGAAAAACAAAAGAAGAATGGGTATTCCTGCGCACACGCAAACAAGAAAAACGGTTATACGAGTAAAAGACCAAGCTATTGAAATACAAACGGATCTTCAACCATATATAATACAACAAAAGTACCCATATAAATTTCAACAAGATGTAAGTACGGAAACTACATCAATGACACCACGTGTAAAAGAAATAGCGGTTGGATCAAAATATAGTAGTTTATCATTTGCTGATAAATTTACTTTAACGGAATCTAAAAAAGTTTCTTATACAAATACCTCAACAATTACTGATACTGTTTCTATGAGGAGTTTTAGTACACAAACACCAAAAATCCAGCCACCACCGAGAAGAAAAAAGAGGTTATCTGCTTACTCAAAATATATTAAAAAGGTAGAACGTAGTAAATCGAGCACAGATGAAAGCAATGAAAATAGCATATCACCAATAATTAACATTAATATATCCCCAATGTACGCAGTTAATTCTGATTCTAACAGTTCAGACGAAGTTGTCGCCTGGCCAGATGAAGACAAGCATAGTGCTGCCACAACTCCTGATCTTCTAACAAATCATAGTAACATGTCAAAAAAATCAATTGAAAATGAGGAAAATTGCAATGATCTTAATTTGAATATCGAGTATTTAGATAAAAAATCACACTCAGTGGATAATTTAGATGAATTTTCTGATGTTGACTTACCTATGCCTCGTGTAACCGTCGACAGTGCAAGAAAAATTGGTCGTAAAGACTACGAGGATTTAATATTCGGTCGAAATGAACATTTGTACCCATATAATCTGAAATTATCGCCTTTTAAAGAAAGAGATGAAACAAAGCGGGTGATACGTTTTAAAGATAAGGATACAAAGTGCGATGAATTTATTCCTAAAAAGCCAACAAAGTACATTAAAGATAAAACTGTACAATATAATATACGTAGCGATGATTTAGAATCGTCCGATTCCAACACTGAATCCGATTTTATTTGGGCGAAAAATCCCGCGCAATGTGACGGCTGTTGTCAAAAAAGAATACAAGACACAGGCTCTGAATGTGAAGTAGACTTTTCTATGTCTACAGAAGGTTTTCGCCTAAAAAGTAAACAATCTCCGAATCTTCGTCCCTATAGTGAAGAAACGTGTTACAATAAAACAAATAAATCAAATCAAAAAACAGAAAATATATATGATTTTGATAGTATAGAAAAGAATATTAAAAGCGCATGCAACAGTTTAGAGGCTTCTGTAAACCAGTATGATAGTTACTTGAGAAAACCAAGAAATTCTAAGTCAGATACACGAACTCCCACTGAATATTTGCATCATTTGATTAATTTACGACGAGAGGCTGTTAAATTGGAATATCCAGAATACTTGTAACATTTTTTTTTAGTTTTTAATGTAATGTGGTGCAGTGGTTTGGGCTTAGATATTTTAGCCTATGGTCTGGCATTGTCTTTACTAGGAGATTTTGTATACTGTAGTAGGTATATTACATAGGTAGGTGATGTAAATCTAAGTAGAGGTCGTGGAATTAATAATGTTTGAAAAATAATAAACTATTACAAAGAAAATAATAGAGTTTCAATTAATAACTAAAATCTAAAGCAATTGGTAGTCTATAAAAATAAGAGTAATGAAGAAGAAAAAGAAGATAATATAAACTAAAGAATATTTGTTATTTTCAGTTTTAACTTTTTTTAAAAATTCTAATTATTATATAATATACTATTTATAATGTCCTTCTAACTGATTTTGGCAACCAGTCTCATTCAGACTAGCTCCCGGTACAGGAGATATTAAAGAACACAAGCGCATGCGCAAATATACCTACATAAATGCATTTGTGTTATGTATTCCTTTCACTCTGTAAGTTAGGTGGAACGTCCATTCGACGCAACCAGTGGGAGGTCAGGTGCAGAAACGGTCCTGGCTACGTGTTCTCCGAGGTGAAGGCGATGTAACGCCGTCAACTTCTTCACTCATTTCACAGAAAAAAGAAAATTAACTATAATTGACCCGGGACTCGAACTCAGGGTCTATGGGTCTATACTCTATAGCCGTACATGCTTGTCACTCTAATTAAGTCCAACGTCATAATTATAATTTCGTATTAAAAAAAATTATGATAAGGTTTTAAAATGAAAGTCGGTATAATTACATTTTTGTTACCTTTTCTCTCTCCTAAACTATCCGACTTCCGTCAATCTATACTCGTACGTATAATAAAATTGTAACTAAGCCGAATTTGTACATTAAATGTTTTTTGGAAAATCTTGTTGAAATAAACATTATTATCGATACAGAGGCCGAATTTATAGTTTTTAGAATTTTTGTCTGTCTGTCTGTGACCGCATCACAGAAAAACCACTGAAGGGATTTTTATGAAATTTGATATGGTGATAGCTGGTTATCCGGGTCAACATATAGGATACTTTTTACTGCGAGAAAATTTACTATTTCATATAATTTTATATATATATTATTACAGTAAATTTTAGGGAAAAAAGTGTAAGGGTAATTTTTGTAGATTGAATCATTTGTTATTGTAATTTTCGAAACCATTAAAATAAATCGTTATCACTAAAAACATAACTATATCATTTACTAACTAAAAGATAAGTCTTAATGATTAAAATGAATAATCATATTATAATTATGGTATTTGGTATAATCCACAAAATTGACTCTAGGTCTCTAGAGACTCTGTCATTGTACATACCGTGCCCGTTGCAATAAGATTGAAGATGTCATAACTTTTTTTAATCATAATCCTGCTACTAATATTTTTTGTGTAATAAGTATTTGAATTTTTTGTACAAAGGAGAACTCAGCCGACCAGTTGTTGTGTTTTGCCACTGGAATATGAGAATTTCCTGTAGTTATAAGGTATCCTAAATGTTAACACGAGTTACTACTACAACAAAGTTTTGTTAAAATCCATTAGTACTTTATATATGAATTGCGCACAGATATACAGAAAAACAGACATATAGTCAAAACGACAGGAAAAATACAACAACTGTTGTTTTGTGGTCTATATTCTGTGCACAATACACATCAAAAATTGTTTTTATTTAAAAAAACATTTATGAACAGATTTTGCTTTGATATCATTTTATTATACGTGTAGTTCTCCAATACCCATACCTTTTGCTCGTGGCTTTGCGTAATTTACCTATAATTGTTTCAGGGTGTATACAGTCATTGTTTTTAAAAATTAATATATATTTCGTTTTATCACTATTTTATTATATGTATAATAACATGCTTTTATTTCAGGTCTGAATCAAATAGTACATAAGTTATTTGTTATGATTTAGTACAAATTATTCACAAATTATAAGCTATGTTAGTACTTATATATTATTTAATAAAAATGCCTGTCAGCTATATTAATTCCACTTAAACTCGCTGATGGTGTAGTTTGAATTAGAAGTAGTAAAGTTTCAAAGATATTTTATTTTCCTGGTCTACTTGAAACTTGGTATTATGGGTCTTAATCACAATTGTTGAACCTGCTTATCTGTCAAAATTCAAATACTTAAAGAAGTATACTTTCTTCTTTATTAATTTCATTATGACATTGTATATAATGTACTCGTACTAGCACTTCCGGCCACGCGTTGCTGTGGCAGACATATGAAAATCGTCAAATTTTGCAATAAAAAAAAAAGAAATATCCGGTATAAAAACGATTCTATCTTTTAAATTCGAACAAATCACACATTTAATTCAAAAAAATACGTTAATAAGCAACTACTTATCCGACAGGTAGTTTCGGAGTTTATCGCGGACCAACATTGACACGGGAATTCTATATATTAGGAAGAAGGGAATTTTATATAATGGTGAATTGTAATAATATTTGGTTAGTCTCCGACGTCTGCAACACGCATAAGGGTGAAAGATTATATGATTTTTTTTAATATAGATCTACGATATTAAAATCTATGTTTATGAATATTACTTATTATATATAAGCTTAGCTTTATTGTTCAGTGCTTATTTTTTATAAAACAATTAATTACCTTTTATAGTATAACTGTTTTTTCAAGCTATTCCTATTTTGGTAATTAGACACGTTATGTATTTAACAGTTTTTATTACATATTTTTTATTATACTGTAATTATATTATGTCATTTATTAATTTGATGTTTTTTATACAATGGTTTAAAAAGTGGCTTTAGCTTGTATTATCGATAGCAGACAATCCAAGCCGCCACTTGTTAAGAACACTCGGACCTGAGTGCGTGCGTGGTCATTGCTTAATTCGTTCATTTTCGTAACAAAAATATTATTTGAAAAATATTATTTAAATTAATATTGAAATTAAAAAAAATACTTTGAGTGTCTAATAATTTGTATAAAATTGTTTTATATTTTTAGAATCGATTACGAATACATTAAAACCAGTGAAAATGGCAATTTTGAATGTAACATTTTTCTCGAGAGAAACTCTAATTTTAATAGTTATTAGTTTTATTTTGATTTATATATGGTTTCAATACAAGTTCACGTACTGGACAAAAAAAGGTGTTTTCGCACCAAAGCCTACATTCCCATTTGGCAACATTCAAAATGTGATAAAACGGAAAGAACAATTTTTCGAGCCTTATTGTAGGAATTACTACAAATATAAACACTTACCATACGTGGGTGTATACTGTTTCAATGAACCAGTGCTAAGTATAAACGATTTGGATTTGGCAAAGCATGTTTTGATAAAGGATTTCGATCATTTCCAATCCCATGGAATATTTTCTGGAGGAGCGGGCGATCCTTTGGCTGGCCATCTGTTCAACAAACACGGTTATGCTTGGAAATCGCTGAGAAATAAAATGACATCTGCTTTCTCGGCTTCTAAGCTCAAAAGTATGTACCCTTTGGCCGATAAAATTGCGAAAGAATCCTTACTTTATGCTGACCATCATCAATTAAACAAAGAAGTGTTAAATATGACGGAGTTTTACGAAAAATACACTATGGAAATTATAGGAAGTGTTGGCTTTGGCTTAGAATGCAATGGATTCAAAAATTCTCAGTCCGAATTTTATTTGCGTGGACATGACTATTTCGAGCCATCATCACTTTATTGGTACGTTTTTCTGTTTTAGTAAATAGTTTGAATATGCTTTAAATAAAATAAATTATAAAATTATCTAACGAGACCTATTAAAAATTGTATCGAATTTGTATAAAAATTGCACAAAAGAACTTAAACGACATTATTATTCATTTGTTTATTTCATGATTATATTATGGTACTAGCGGCTTACACTCGCTTCGCTCGGGTGCGTCTCTACTCTCTAGGTACGTTTTAATTTTTTGAGCAGGACCCGAATTAATTCTTTTTCTAAAATAAAAGTAATGAGTGATGTAAAATATCTGCCAGTGAAAGTCCCGTCAAAATCAGTTCAGCCGTTTCGGACATTAGCCGGAACAAACAAACAGACAGACAACAAATTTTAAAGTCGTGGTTTTCTTAAAAGTACCGTCTATAACAAGACGCTCGTAATACAAGTTCACTTAGTACGAGTGACTTAGATTTGTATAAATGATATTTTGTATTTTATAAAGGAATAAATAAATATGCACTTAGTAAAAAGCTGTTATTTTGACATTACAGACGCTTCAATTTTATTTACTGTATAGATAGATTGTTTTATCTTATATAATAAAACATCGTTTAAAAGCTGTCCTCGAATTAAATTTTTTAAGTTAGATTAGAGACTGCTTTATAGGAAGTAAGAAAACAGTTACTATCTCAACATTTTTTAAACTTGATGAAATAAAAAAATATATAGAATAAACTTTTGAATCCGAAAGCATTCCTAAATATCTGTAACAAGTTTATATATTATTTTACGGGCGTTACGTTTATTTTATAGTATAACACGAAAATATAATAGACTATGTTATTAAAATTGTTATTTAATTATGAATCGGATCGGAAACAAATATTGAAATCTAACTAGAAAGAAAATTCATATATTATGTATCTTTTAATAAACTACAGAAAATATATAAATAATTAATAAATACATAAATTAATGTTATTATTTCTTTTAACAGTTAAATATCTTCAGTAAGAAAAATATTTATATTGCCTTTAATTTTTATTGTTTTAGGACAGTTGTAAGAGCTTTAGCCTTTCTTATTCCCAGTTTCTTCGAAAAATTAAAGGTAAAGCGAATAAACCCGGATACAATTAGCTTTTTCTATAATTTGGTGAAAGAAACTGTGGAGTACAGAACCAAGCATTGCTACAAGCGCAACGACTTTTTACAAACACTCATTGATTTAAAGGAAAACCCGACATTATTGGATAAAGGTAATTGATAACACTAAAACGAATTTAATGTAAGATAATTGGTTCAATTCTTAAGAGTTACAATTGAATAGTGTCGTATAAAATCAAAACAACTAGAAACCCTTTAGCCACCCCCACCCCCAATTTTCAAATTGATTGATTTTAATCGTATCTAAAAAGCTTTGTGGATGATTTCAGATGATAAAAGCTCTTTTACAATGACGGATATAGCTTCAAACACCATGCTGTACATGTTTGCTGGGTACGAGACCTCCGCGACCACGGGGCAGTTCGCCGCATACGAGCTTGCCCTCAACCCTCATATACAGGCCAAAGCTCGGGCGGAGATTACCACAGTCCTCGCTAAATACGGCGGAGACTGCACATACGAAGCGCAGAACGAAATGGTCTATATTAATATGGTACTCGACGGTAAGTGAATTTGTATGTTAGATATTTTTAACCGATTTTAAAAAGTATTCTAGTTAGATATATTTGTTTTTTGTGAACCAATCGAGAATCGAATTTCACGAGCTTTATTTTAATGGATAGGTATACTTCTGGTTTTATATAAAGGAATTGAAAACTCTGTGTTTGTGAAAATTTGTGTTTTTAAAGAGACATAAATACAGTATGGTGAATAAAAACTATCAATCCGTATAGGAATCGTAACTCCAACATATACGTATAAATTATACATATAATAAAATTGTAACTAAGCCGAATCTGTACATTAAACATTATTATCGATACAGATACCGATATATACCTAGTTTTTAGATTTTTTATCTGTCTGTCTGTCTGTTACCGCATCACAGAAAAACCACAGGAGAGATTTTGATGAAATTTGGTATGGTGATAGCTGGTTATCCGGGTCAACAAATAGGATATTTTTTACCGCGGGAAAATATCTAATTTCTGAGACAAAATAAAAAACTGCAATGAGAGTATATATAATATGTAAAACTTAAGAATTTGGTTTTTGGTCATCCGAACGCGGGCGGATCCGCGGACAATGCTAGTACGACTATAAAACTACTTAAACGCGTTTGGTTAAGGTAAGATTTAAAATTAAAATAAATGTGGCACTCGGAGACTGCCGCGGTAAAGCATTTTTTTATTGCATAGCATTTTTTATCAATTTATGCAATTATAATTATTTATTTATTTTATTAATGCAGTATTTTTTTCCTTGACTTTCTACATTAATAAATGCACTTTGTTTATTCATATTTAAAACACTTTGTACACAAATTATACTAGTACAGATATTCACTGTTGTACATAGATGATAAATACCTATACACCTATATACTTTCTCACAAACAGCTGATTACGGTAGTTTACCAATACAACCAATGCCACCTAAAGGCGGGTTGCTGAACTAAAGAGACAAGCGTGATATTTCAAAAAGTCATTAAAAGTTCTGGTTTTTATCGATAGATGGAAAAACTAAAAAGTATCACCGCTGTGCCGGTCGGAGTGGGGGGTGTCAGGTTTTTTTCGTTACGGAATTTCTGGATTCGGTCCCCACGCTCAAGGCCCGCGATAGAAGCTATGCAATAGCTTAAAAAAAATACCATTTTCTATCCATAAGTATAATGCAATAATATTAAGTTATTTAAAATTAGAAGTTTGGTCTTTTATTTTCTTTCTTTTTAACTTTCTTAATCCTATTTTAGGTTAACGATTGATACTAAGGCGCGTAGCGTTACATTTCTTGATAATTTTAAATTTTTAATGTGATAGTCATTTCTTACAGCTGAACGGCGAGACTTAATAGATGTCATAAAGCAAATTAAATTTACATAATCGGTAGATATTATTGGATATAGGTATATATTATTGGAACTAGTACTTGTTCGCGGCTCAACACGCATTTTTGTTTTCGAATGTTTGATAATTTGTTTCAAGCTTCAAATATCCAAAATAGTCCAGTCAAATAAGGTCTGTAATCAAAATTTTGGCACTCAACTTTGCATTTTAGATATAGTGTAGTTTTAACGATACCAAAACAATGTGTAAAGGTTTTTGTGTCTGTAACCCCCGGCAAGGGTTGAAAAAAAATTGTCAAGTGTCTTTTCGCAATTACTCGAAAACAGAAAAAGTTAGACAAAAAAGTTTTAATGAAAATGTATCATGAGTTTTTTCCTTCGGTCAAAATTAACCGAGTTAGGGAGGTTTTAAGTTTAAGGGATGAAGGTAAATTTAAGAAAATCGTACCTAGTTAATAGAAAAATTAAGCGCATTTTTTTTTAAATTGCTTAAAAGATTCTTATCTTTAATTTTAGAGATACAGTTTTTTTTATTGTAAAAAAATATATATAACAATTTGAAATTATTCATTTGAAATCTCAATAAGTACTTAAAAATTAATGAATAATTAATTTATTTTTGGCTATATTTAGATTCTTTGTAAAATTTCCTAAATTTATCGTGAAAATATATCTAACTGCTAGTACATGGGTATATTGTAACGGGATTCGGGCTTGTATATTACTTTTTTTAGCTAAAGCTAGACAGGCATATCATAACGTGACATTTATTAATTATTTTAATTACACAATCAATAATGATAAGATCTTCCGTTTTATAACCACTGAATTAAAAATAAATCTTATTTTCCTTTAGAAACAATGAGAAAGTATCCACCAATGCGAGCGTTGTTCCGAAGATGTACAAAGGATTATAAAATTCCACACACCGAAATAGTAATCGAGAAGGGTACTTTAATTTTCATCCCAATACACTCAATACAAATGGACCCAGACATTTTCTCGGATCCTGAAAAATTCGACCCAGAAAGATTTACGCCGGACAAAAAGAAAAATATGCATCCATGTCATTGGATGCCATTTGGGGAAGGTCCAAGAAAATGTTTAGGTAATTGCATCTTATAATATAAATTGCATCTTATATTTTTTACAAATAAGTCAGTTTAATTAATTTAATTTTCTTTTTTTTATATTAAGCAAAAATAAAAATTCTGAATTATTACACTATAAATGCTGTAAAGCTACAATCAATCATGGCGAATGTTTTAGGTCTCCGTCAAGGATACATCCAATCTAAACTAGCCTTAGTAAGATTGTTGCACAAGTATGAGTTGGTCTTAGATGACCGCACATTAGTTCCAATGAAGATAAAGGCTTCGTCACTGGCGTGTGCTGCGCAAGGCGATATATGGATACGACTTAAGAAATTAGACACGTAACTAAAAGTGTGTACAGTTTATAGAATTTATTTTTAAAAATTAAAAGTTATTTTGCTCACACAATATGTTCAATATATATATTTTATAAGGCATGTATGTAAATATTTATGTGGATTTATTTGTAAGAGACAAAAGGGTAATATAAATAAGGAAACAACTAGGAACTTGGGTCTTATCTTAGATTGCCACATGACTTGGACACCTCATATCAATGAGGTTAGTAGGCGTATGTACTTCACTTTCCATTCTCTGAAGCGTCTCCAATACTTTCTTCCCTTCAAAACCAAAATTATGCTTGCGCAGTCTGTTCTACTAACCATACTTGACTACGCCGATGTATGCTATTTGGATGTGACGGAGGAGCTACTGAATAAACTAGAGCATCTTCAAAATCTCGCCATACCCTTTATCTATGGTCTACGCAAGTATGATCACGTTTCCGACTTTCGAGCTCGTCTTAAATGGCTCCCTATCCGCCTTCGCCGTATTATGCACCTTCTATTTATTTCGTTTCTGTTCAACATTCTTCATAACCTCAATTTTCCCTCTTACCTTTGTTCCCGGTTTAACTTTCATCCTACTCCATCTCGTTCCAGGCGGCACTGCATCACATCGATGCTTGACATACCAAGAAGCAACATCAAGTTTTTCCAAAACTCATTCTCGGTACACGCTGCAATGCTATGGAACAGACTTCCCAAAGTCCTACAAGAGAGCCCTTCTAATGATGCGTTTAAAATAAATATGAAAAAGTATTGTCTAACTCATAATTGAAAAATGTGTACATTTCTGTTTTGTAATAATATAAGTATGTTCATGTATATATGTATGTAAATAGTTCTGGTATTTGTTTTCTCAAATATTTATACATATAGTGTTTATAATTCGTATTTGTATTTATGCTTATATATTATATATGGAATTATAGTGTGTATATATATTTATATATTGTATTTATTTTGTTTCACTTATGATTATTCTTATATAATTTCTTATCGTTTCTCTGCACTTTCCCTTTCTGTCCCGCTACTTAACACTATTTCCCACATACATGGGTTGACTGGAAGAGATCTCTTATAAAGTCCACCTTTGTCCACGTCATTTTCTATGTATTTTTTTTATTACTTGTTTAGTGCAATAAAGAATATATAAATATCTCATATTAAGTTGAACAATATTTTATTATTCTTGCGCAAAATTTATCCAGCCATCTATTAATGTGGAAAAATAATACGAAAAAATGAGCTGCAGGCAAATAATCTTATTTATAACGCATATAAAATATTGAGAGAGCGAAATCAATGTATGTATACTAATATTATAAAGAGGTAAAGTTTGTGAGTTTGTGACGTTGTAGGGGGTAATCTTGGGATGTACTAAACCGATTTAGATAAAATTTGGTAAGAAGATAGACATTTTATCCCGGAAATCATCCCTTAAGGTGGTGAAAATGGGGATAAAAGTTTTGCATGGGGTATCAACCTAGGGAGGAACCCGAGCGAAGCGAGAGTGAGACACTAGTAAATAATAAATGAGGGACTAAGGTATTAGCAATAAGTGAGAGACTTCAACGATAACTGTGAAACGTTTAATTCATCTATCGATCGATTTCAATAGTATTAAAAATGACTTTTAAACCTGCATTTGCAGCGTCAAAATCATTAGTGTGACAACAATGTTTGAAATGATTTTTACATGGATTATATTCTTATTTATTTGACGACACGTTTAGCTCAGTTTGTAGTAACCCTACTTCCTGTGCCAGCGGTCGCGGATTCGAGTCCCGCTGGGGGCATTCATTTGTGTGATGAGTACGAATGTTTGTACGTACTCCATCATCCATCATCCACTCCATTCATCGTCATGGGTGTTAATATTTATAATATGTATGTATTGTGTAGTATATCAACTATCCGGTATCCATAACACAAGCCTCGTAGCTTACCATGGAACTAGATAGTGCTGAGTGTTAATTTACTTATGTACCTACATGTTTATTAATTTATTTATTTATTTTTAATAATTTACTTCGTGGTAGACACCGGTGGGTTAAGTTACGTATTTACTAAACCAAAAATTATCATATTAATAAAGTAAACTGCCGACTAACGGTTCCTATTTACTATGTTTACACCATATAGTTACCAGGCAGGATTTATTTTAATAAATAGTCTTCACCATTTTTTAAATTATATTTAAATTTACAATTACTCAGTTAAATTATATCATCAATTCAAAATGTCGCAAGTATCAATGTAATATTTAAGCTGTTCAGTTAAATTCTTGTTTTGCGCCGCCGGTTTTATATTTAACAAGTCTGTTTTAGTACTTAACAATTTGTGTGAAGGCTGTATAGTGGTAAACTTTTGTTTAAGAAGTAAAATATTATAGTAGCACATAACAAAAATAATTTATAACTTGTGTAAGGTTTTTTATTTAATATTATGTATTTGATTTGTTTTTAGAAAAAAAAAACTTAACGTTGTGAGGGAAGAATCTAGTAAATAATGCATATTTAATTTGTAATTGTTTACAAAATCTGAGTTGACAATGAATATAATAGCAGACATTTGAAGACTTACATTAAAATATTTTTTTACAAAAGTTGGTTTTGTTTAAAGATATAAAATAAAAATATTATAAAAAATAAAAAGCGTTATTGTTTTAACAGTTTATAAAATTTATAATTTTTTTAAGAGGAATGAGAGTTGATTAAAATATAAAGTAAAAATATCTCCTTTGTTTTATTTATTTCTATTTAAATATTTTGCTTTTTAATTTGTTAATTTCTTGGCTTAATAAATAAAAAATGATATGGATGAAATTATCATAATTTACGAGAGAACGCTCCATGAAAGTTCAAGTTCGTGTTGGCCAACCAGCTGTTTGGCAATTTGAGCTAAACCTGGCCATGTTGACCGTGGCCGCCGCGCCACTTCAACTCTAGGATATTTGGGTAAATAAAATGATTGTGAGTAAAGTTTGCGCAACTTCTTGCTAAGCTACCTTGCATTCACATTTTAAGCTCTTATTTCGCATTGATTTCGATATTTTATAGTTGCTCCGCTATGATAATTATTGCGATAATGACAAGTAGGATAAATTATTCCCATTTAAAACTACTATGTAATTTATTCGTATATAGACTAAAAATAATCAAATTCAAGCCGACGTTAGTTATTTGACTGAGTAAGGAAGGTACGTACATAATTGGATTCGTAATATTTAGGGTTTATAAATAAATGTACAAAATTTCATAGGTGTACCTTTTACTACGAATTTCTTAGAAATTAATCGTGCAATGCAATACTATCTTTTTTTTACTGACTAAAGTATCTTTCAATGTAAATGTAAGTATATTTTTTTTCAATCGGTTTAATCAATAAAAGTTAATAAGAGTACTAACACGTTATACATGTGTAACTTAAAATTCGCAAGATTATCTAGTATAAAAATATGAAAACCGTCTTCCAGACACTAAAACGTAAAATCATTAAAAAATATAACCTGTTACTGGACTCTAAAAAATAAAAAATAACTGAAAGGGGGTTGCCTTTTAATATAGATGTTTAGTCATCTAGTTGTAGTGTAGTGTTAGACATTTGTTTTCGAAGTCGAACCAGCCAATGCAAAGCAATCGATATGTAGGTATAAATACATCACAAATGAATGTATTATATTTTAACTATAATTAAAGTTCATAACTTATCACCTACCTATATTAGATACATATTATATCTTATTTGTGAGAGCATTGTAGGCGGTTTATATTTCTTTTTTTTTAGTTTTTATTTACCATTTTTATTATAGACGTATTAGTAGCATATTTTAAAATGAGAAGAAAATCTGTATAAATATTATAAATGTGAAAGTTTGTGAGTATGGATGTTTGTTACTCTTTCACGCCAGAACGGCTGAACGGATCTGGATGAAGTTTGGCACAGAGATAGATTATATTCTGGAACAACACATAAGCTACTTTTTTCCCGGAAAAATGTACGGTTCCCGTGGTATAGGTTTGTTTTTGTTTTGGTGAGCCGCTAGTATTTTAATAAAATGACAACAAGAATGATGAAAACAAATTGGTTAAGGTATATAGTATTTTGCAGTCGGAGACATACAGGATTCATCCTTGCCGCGTGATGTACCTACATATTTATGTATGTCTCCGACTGCATAATACCATATTCCTTCGTCAACTTCTTTTCATTTTTTTATTTAGCTTATACGAGTATGCAGTCGGTTTTTTAATTTTTTTATATATTTTTTTATTTACGGTTTTTAATTTTTTGCCAATTAGAGGTTTGAAGTAGCTAATATTTAGCAATTTTTTATTCTAAATTACTTTTAATATATATTAAAAAGTTGTATATATTTTTGTGATCGCCTAAAAACCTTCTTGATCAACATCACATAGGAACAAACATACGTATGTACATATATACATATTATTATTACGTAAATACATATATAGGCACATACATACACACATAAACATAAACACGCGCACGCACGCACGCACTAACGCACGCACGTACGCACGCAATCACGCACGCACGCACTCTAAAAACATTAACTAGATCCATTAATTAGCATATTTCTAATTTCATGGGTTATTTAAATTTTTTTCCGAAACGGTACCTATGCTCTATGTTAAACAAAATTTTATGAGCCGTTCTCGGGACCTACCTTAGTATATAATACAGGTTAAAGTAGCAAAATCGGTTAAACCGTCTCCAAGAAATCGGTGAACATACTTACAAAAAATAGACATTGACAAACATAATATGTAGAACCTCCTTCTTTTTGCAAAAACAAACGTTTCATAACCTACATAAAATGATCTGCTTTGTTTTATAATCTGCGTATAAAATCATTGAAGTACAGTAAGTAAGTACAGTGCGTGACCTCTATGTATGTATGGCAGACCCTATGTTCCCTCGTAAATGTAAAAAGATGTTAGATTTGTCATCATAACGTCTATCTAATGGGATCATAAGATATATAAAATTTATAGATTGTGAAAAAAAAAGTTTTTTAAGCCTAGCGAAAACATGATCAAATCATATATAAAACATTGCATGTTAAAAATCACATAAAACACTGTAAACTAGAAGAACTAGAGTATGTAGCTTGACTCGAAGCAAGTATAAAACATGTTTGTATGTCTTTCATTGCATAATAAAATCTTACATCAATCTTATATTCCTTTTTGGGTTCCGTAGACGAAAAACTGAAATAAAAACCCTGTAAAACCCGAATAATTTATTATTCTATTTGCTTCTGAAGTCGTAAACATTGTGAACACCTTTTTGAGATATGGGGTGGGGTACTTTTGGTTTTTCACGTTCTTCCGCAAACTTAATTTTGTTTCTAATAGTCACTACAAAATACAAACCCATTTAAGATGTCAACAAAATAAATATCATAAATGGGTAAATATTTTATTTTACTAAAAGAAAAAAAAACCTAATAAATTAGTATTTGAATAAAAAACTTAATTTTAATATTTCTTGTAAGTTTGCACTTGTCCAGTTATTATTGAAGTTATACTTCTTTTGGCACGTTTGGAAAAATATATTAGGGTAAAATTTTTACGATGCGCGCGCACACTGAGAGCCAAAAAGCGACATGATGAAGTTAGCTGAAAGCAACATGGTGAAATTAGCTTCATTCCTTTTGCAAACAGAGAGTTGTGATATACGGGATGAAATCTCTAGCTATTATATTTTGTTCTGTTACGCCAAAGAAGTATAACTTATTACTTGCATACATACACTCAAACGTTTTTTTTTACTTAATTAATTTACACAGTCGGATTTATATATTTATATTGTGATTATTGTATTGTATAAAAACGAAGAACTCATACTGACTGAATTTGACCATGAAATATTATTTATTCTTGTTTCTCTTTATTAGTCTGCGTTTTTTTATTTTCCCTGGGCGATTGTGGATCATTGAAAGCTGTATTCAAAGAGTATACACTAGTTCGAGAATCTATTTTGACTTTAACAGATTTGTCTTTAATTTTTGCTTCAGTTTGAATACCTGATTGTCTCAAATTGGATTTTAATTTTACTTTCTTTACCCCTTTGCTTGTACTTGGTTCTGACTCGTCTGACGAATCGCCTTTGGATTCAGCATCATTTTTCTTTTGAACAGCTATTTTCGTATCAGAAGCCATATTCATAGTCGATTCAGTAGATTCCTTGTTTGACTTTTTATGCCGAGGTATCTTTATTTCATTTAATTGTTTATTCAATTTTTCATGTAAATTTCGCCTTAGTTCCATAGCTATTTCCTCAGCTTCTTCCAAGTCCATGAAAGACAGTTCTTCCGATGGTTTTTTTGTATCTTGATTCAATGTTGAAGATATTCTCTGCTGCCCATATTGTCGTGCAATGGCTACAGATGAGTCAAACTCAGTTATTGTTGAACTTGAGCTTGAAGGTATATCAACATCTTGCGTTGCTTCTACCGTGTCTAGTATGTTATATAGCATTTTAACAATAAACTGATGTTCCTTTGGCACATCATCACAGGCTGATAGTTTATCTAATTTACGACGTTCTGCCGTAACTAAAGAGGGCTCAGATATTTGTTCCATAACTTCAGAATAATATAATACATTGCCCAAATCTTCTTTTTTTATATCTTGTTTGTATTTCATTAAACTAGAATGGAAATCCTTCTTTTTGAAGTGCATTAGAACTTTACTTCGTGAATAATGGTTAGACTCCAATGTATCTGGAGAGACAGTACAAATGTGTCTCTCATGTTGCTCCTGTGAAGATAAATTATACAATTGCTTAACAAAAATATAAAAGTATAGTTAAGGAAATCTACCCATACTACGTGACCCATTTTTTACAATTTTTCACAATCCTTCTCCCCCTTGGTGACCACCCGTAGTATATGACAAGATCCCTCCCCCCTCCCCTCCTTGGTGACTGATGATTTGGTTTTAAAAAAAACTTAATTTGGCTCATATTTGTCTTTATTAATACGCCGCTTGGCGCGTGATGCCAAGAGTGAGATTTATAGCTCGACAAAGCGCGAGATTTCCCTAAAGAATAATGACTAGTAACAAAGACCTCCCCCCTGCCCCTGTTACCAAGCGTGGTATTTTAAAGATCGTCCTCCCCTCCTTGAACGGGTCACGTAGTATAGGTACGTTCCCTAACTTGATTTTCAATGTCTAACAATTTTTAAAAGACACTTACGAGCATCCTATCAATATTTCCTTGCAATTGCACACTGACTCGGATGAGTTTGAAGTCGACCGCCAACAAAACTCTCATTAGGGCTAAAAATGCAGACAGCACCCAACAGGCTGTGTGAAGCCACGCAGAAAATATTGTGAGTCGTGTCGCCTGATACACGCCACGGATTCGACGTTCATAAGCAAGTGTTGCTACGTTTACTGTGTACGTGCATCTAAGTAACACATAATATTTTTGATAATAGCCATATAGCAATACTTTATAATATATTAATCAATTAATATACCCCTAGTATATTACAGTAAAATAAATTATTCTTTTAAAGCTTAAATTTTATTATAAAATTTTTATGAGAGAAAGCTATAAAATTAAATGAAACAAACGTGGAACTTCCAGTGATTTCACTAAGCTTATAACATAGTTCCTGCAGGCCGTAATGTGTGACTGCCGAGGTATAAATACAGAGGCCAGACATGGCCAGTGAGAATATAAAAACAGGAGGTATAATTCGCCATGGTCTCTGCAAGCTAATAAACATTTGATATAAACAAAACCTGTAGGACGTGTTCTAAATTTACATTATTAACTACTAGCGGCTAACCCTTGCTTTGCTCGGGTTCGCCTCTAGAAAAAGAAAAACAAATCAATCCCTCGGGAACCGTATATTTTTCCGGGATAAAAAGTTTCATCCAGATCTATTCAGCCGTTCTGGCGTGAAAGAGTAACAAACGTCTATACATACTCACAAACTTTCACATTTATAATATTTATACAGATTATATAGACTATATACATATAAGAGAAAAGATAAGTGATTAATTAATTTGTTAATGCATATTTATAAAAATCTATCAAGCGCGGGATGGACTCACGAGACTGGACGAGGCTTAGGTTTTTATTCGATTATAGTTATTAAACCCTCTAACAGAGTTCGACTCTACCAACATCAAGTTTGACACGTATGTTTGTATTAGGTACTAGTATTAGATACAACATGATAAGTGTTTTACGTTTTTATTCTGTGTTGAGTATTTCTGTTTGGTTGGTAGCCACTTATTACTGTTGACACTTTTAAAGGCGGAGCGAGAAGGAGGGACGCTTCTGCGAAGGCTTAGTGTCTTATTGTGTCTATCCGTTAATTAAATTAAAACTATCAATTTATAAGGATTTGTCATTTTACAGCAATCATGTGTTTCTAGGGAACTTATCTTTTTTTTTCTTTTTATCACATTCAGTTTAAGCCAGCATTTATTAAAACTTAATTAGCTTAAGGTATTTGAAGAAAATATAAGTTCAGTATTAATATAATTTAAGTTATTTAAAGAAAATATTGACTTAACTTGAAAAATACTCTTACCCAGTCAAAACGCGACTACCAGTAGAACACATCAAAAACATTGTAGTCCATACAAGTCCAAAAATACCCGAAACCAGAGGCACATACGTAGGAAGCAAACAGGCACTTTTTTCTACCCACTGAGTGCTTATAAAGTCTACCGGCAGCTCTAGAATATAATATATTTTATTTTTCTCTATGTACTATTAATATCCTTTAGTATCTGTTTCAGATTAAGCAACTGGCTGTACTAAAAATTGTGACTTTTATTTGTCTTTGTATAATAAGGTTCGCATTGGATCCATATGTATGTTTGTGTGTCTGCGATTATCTCACTTTCTTTCTCTTTTATTGACTTTCTCACTGCATTATCTTAATTGTGTTCCTAATCTCACTTATTTATTGTACATACTTTTAGCATTAAGCCAATGTTAATTATGTATATAGATAATAGATATGTATTACCATATACATTTTCAATTTTTGATGATTCTCGTTAGAAATTAAAAAGAACCTTAAGGTTGGTTCTATATACATTTGGTGAAAATATGATGGTGACTTTTGAACGTGAAGAAAGGACCTCCTCAACCGAAAACATTTAAAGTTTTTATATTTATGTTTACAATAAGAAAATGAAAATAGAGCTATGTCTCCCCTCCGAAACTTCTAATTTATTGCTAAATAAAAAAAAACAAATTTTGAAAGTAACAGCGAAAGTACATAGTAGTGATTATATAGGTACTTTAGAGGAAAAGTCTTTAAATTCCTATGATGTACAGAACCATTGTCCACATGAGTCCGACTTGCAGTGGACCAATTTATTTTTCACATGAAGTCCATTTTAATATAAAAAATAAAACAATTAACAGTGTTTAATAAAAAATATCTTACTATCTACGGTTTCCTTATCCTCGGGTATGAATTCATAAATCATATTTTGGCGAAGAGACGTTAGAGATAAAAGCTTGGGGAACAGGACGCACTTCTCATCAAATAAATACATTAGCAGATGAAAGCAGAAAGTGCAGAACGATCCAAACACGAATGCCAGAAAGAAGAGTAATAACTGAGCACCTGTTGACAAATGTATATTAAATACTTAATCCAGTCTTTAATTTTCCTCTTAAGACAACACATGACATTATTAAAACAAATATTTAAACATAATTAAAACCTAAAACTCAAGCTAACTTTTTATCCTATAAATTATTTACAAATATTTGTCTCGATTAATTCTGTCTACAGCGAGAAAGCAGTGCCAAACAGACACATATTCCAATGCGGTCAACAAAATAAAATTATAATTCAAAATAGTATTTATAAAGTTGCTTATCTTGATATAAACATAATTGAAATATTAACAGCGTATTCCTATAATTAGGTACTTGTAATAAACTATCAATATTGCAACACACTATGTAGGTATTTGTAGCTGTTATGCGTTTTGGTAGTGGAACATGTCATTGTCTTTTAGTACTTAGATAGACCTGGAGTAGCACATAGCACGAGGGAAGTGAGAGAAAATCGCTACTTATCCGTTTAAAATAATAATAAGCAGACTTATGTTATACATTGGGTTGAAAACGCACGGAAGTAAGTTTCACCAACATAAAAAAAATGAATGCACATAAACTCGTATGTATGTACATATGTTAAATAAAATTATTAATACCTTTCCATGCTCCATTAACTTCAGGTTCACTTTTCTCTATGAATCTAAATTCTTCGTACAGCGTTACTTGATCCATATCATTGGGAAGAAAAGACAACGTCGATTTGACTTAAAGCAAGCTAGATCCACATTAACCAAGTAACTCAACTGACATATTCTATTTAATTATCCTGTAAGGTTTCGCTATTTTAATGTATAATAAAATTGTTGTAAATTGATTATACTGGCCATACTGACGACGCGAATGCGTACATCTTTATAAAACAGACAGTTAAAAATGACGGGCATGTTCAGGCCGAAAAAAAGAATAATAAAAATAGAAAGAATGAATAAAGAAAAGAGGGAATTAATCGGTGGGCAGTTGACATGGGTGGACATACGGACTTTCCGTGATTTTTAACTAGAGCAAAGGAATAAGAAATTGTTGAGAATAAGTGTTTCCTAATACATTTTAATTAAATCTAGTTAAAATCAGGGCTCGGAACCGGTTTAAAAAAACCGGTTAATTACAGTAATTTATTATTATTATTTATTCAGCATTACACTTTATTTTATTAATATTTTAGATTAGAATTTTAATTTAAAGACATTTTTATTATATTATTTATTTGTTAACACACATTGTTTTTCGGTATCTAGGCAACGGATGGCAATTGTTTTCCGACTCTTATTATCTTCAATTTCGAGTCAAAATAATATCTATATTCTTAATAAAATAATTATTTAATTCCGAGCGGAAAGTGTCATTTGAAATACCAAAATATTCATAATATACCTATATAGTTTCGTGATCTATTATATAGAATATTGCATATATGCAATAAGATAAAGTACCTTAACATAATTATAATTTATTATTTATTTTTCTTTTACATTGCTAGGAACAATAGGTACATCTACCTCATCATTCATGGATTCACTATCAAAAGAGTTCTCATTGTCAGAGGACATTTGATAAATAAAATTTAACCATGGGAATATTTTATCAACTGCCACTATCGATTCAAAGCGCCTACCTACCCTTTCTTGTGATTGTCACTTTCAATTCTTAAAATTTTCTTAGTTTCATCAGAGCTATTTTGATTTTTCTTTGGACAATCAGAGACAAGGTGGCCACTTAAATCACAGTTCGTACATTGCACTTTGGGTTTTGGGTTTTGAAGAAAGTGTGCCCCGATTTCGTTACAGTTATAACAAACTATATGAGTATAATTAGTGTTTTTATGGTTGGTCGTCTTGTCAGACAAAGAATTTGGGCCACTGTGCGGATGAGCACGTTTGTCCTTATCCTCGTCATGTATATAATTCGAGGCGTTCCTATTTTGCCCTAACCTTACAGTTTTAAAATATTTAAGATCTTGTTTCGGTTCCGTATACTCTACAGCTTGCGCGCTTAATCGGACTCCCCTATCTTCGATGCCGAAAATTAAATAGTCAACGGCCCGCTTAACTTTAATATGACAACGATTTAAAAGGTTCATTTTGGTGTAATAATACAATTCGAGCGATTCAACGTATCGAGCTTTCTCGCCTAACATTTCGGTAAGAAGTACAGCATAATTTTCTCGCGATGGGAAATATTCTTTAAGCTCAAATTTCCAGTCAGACCATGATAACAAAAGCCATAGCAACCCTGATACCATGACTTCGCTATCCCTGTAAGTTTTGGCAAAGCATAGTGTATGATTTGCTTCTCGTCCCAGCTTTATATTTGACTACATTCTTTCTATTTTATGAATCCATGAATCAATTGTTTGTTCTTTACATAGTGGATCAAATTTGGGTACAACATTATTAATCCCTCCACGACCGCGGACACGCCGGCGTTACAGTTAACAATAGATTTCTTAGAAATTTACCTGGAGGTGTTAAAAACTGAGAATTTGTCACGTTCTACAGTACCTTTCGTCCTTAATACCTTACATTACATTAATAAACTGTACGAAAAATGATCGCTGATTATCTGCGTACCTTGATTAACTTGTGAGGTCCGTATTAATGTGTTAAAACACATTAGTCCGTATTATAGTAATAGCTTAACATCCAGTGCCTTTTGAAATATAATAGCAATAGCAATCAAGTAATAGCAAAGTTTCCATGATGATTAAAAAACATTTTCCTATTTCGCCTTATCCACTAACGAATAGTCACAAAATTATGAAAAAAAGATTGAATTTACATGTCACTTTGGAATTATGAATAATAATAATAATAGTTTCTTTTCAAAAAGTCATGATATCCCATCAAAAACATAAATGTGAAAATGGGAGCCAAGTTCAATGTTAAGACTAAGCGTGGTTGTCAACTTCACCGACAAAAGAATTGAGATCTAAGTGGGTGGCAAGTTCTGTAGGTAATCCTAATTTTTTTTATAATAACATGTAACATTTTGAAATAAATTTAAAACAGAAATTTATTAAGCCTGGTCCCCCGTGCTTGTTTTTCCTACACACTACATGAAGACAAAAAAATCTTAATGACCATTTTTATTTAGAGGACACTTTTTATTATTGTTCAACAGATTGCACACTGCATACAATATCAACCAGGTTTTTTAAATACCGTATAGGTATTTCAATATAGCTAAGACAAACGACTTATTCTCGATTCGCTTGGGTGCGTCCCTAGGTACCTACGCGGATTTTGTTCACAATTTCATAGTTTTTTTTTTCATCGTACCCTAATTATTTAAAAAAAAAATTGCCGATTTTAGCTGTTACTAGGGTGCGCCGGCGTTCGACAGAAGCGCACCCAGTTTAAGCTAAACGCTGTATAATATGCTCAACCATATAGATGTCTCAACTTACATTGGCAGCGTCTTTTCTGAAATTATCAATTTTTGACTTTGCTGTGTCGAAATAAGCTTTTTACAAACTACATATAATATAATTAATCAAAGTTTAGCCAAATCAACTGAACTATACTTCTTTTGGCACGTTATGAAAAATGAAAAATGGATGATGAGAGTGACTTTTTTACGGTGCGACAGATTTAGACTACATTATGAAGTTAGTGGTTATTGACTACAGTGTGAAGTTAGTCGTTTATGGCTACAATGTGAAGTTAGTCGCTAAATCTCCCTTTAGTATAGTGAGATGTCTATATTCAAGATATATATTCCGGTATTTCTATACACAGTTACATTTCTATGTACAGTTCTGTATATATGTACTCGTATGTATTGTGTTGTGTATTTAATTATTATAGTATAGCAACCATAAAATATCAATATCAATGCGAAAAAAAGCTTGAAATGTGAATGCAAGAAGATGCGCAAACTTTACTCACAATCATTTTATTTACTCAAATATCCTAAGAGTTAAAGTGGCGCGGCGGCCACGGTTAACATGGCCAGGTTTAGCTCAATTTACCAAATAGTTGGTTGGCCAACACGAACTTGAACTCTCATGGAACGGGTTCCATCGTAAATTATGATAATTTCGTTTATATCATGTTTTATTTATTAAGCAGAGAAATTCATAAATTAAGAAGCAAAATATTTAAATAAAGATAAATAAAACGAAGGAGGAAATAACATAAATATTAATAAAATGGTAAAATAAATAATGCTTTTTATTTTTCATAATATTTTTTTTTTATTTTAACCTTTAAACAAAACCAACTTTAGAAAAAAATATTTTAATGTAATTGTCTTGTATTGTCTACTATTATATTCATTGTCAACTCTGATTTTGTAAAAGATTACAAAAAAATGCATTATTTACTAGTTTCTTCCCTCACAACATTAAGTATTTTATGCTAAAAAACAAATAAACTACACTATTAAACAAAAAAGTGCGTGTGTGTGCAATTCACACATGGTAGAAGTGAAACCTCAGAAAAGTAAGCTACGAGAGAATGAGATAAATATAGAGTATCAGGAGTAGAATAATTATAAGGTTTATTTTTTTAATCGTATTTTTACCAAGTTTAAAAGTTATTTTACATTTTATTTGACATATATATACATTACATATTATTCAGCAATTAATTTTATTATTTTCACTTCCTGTGTAATGTATTCTATCTCAAATAATTAAATAAGGCACATTAGGCATATTACAATCATATTTATATTTATAGAATATGTGCCTGCTGTGCATCTTTTTGTTGTTATGTATTTCACTTCTTTATTTATTTTCTTGTGTGGTGTGCAATAAAGTGTTCATTATTATTATTATCACATTCCGGGACAGACCGCCTCTCGACGTTACCTTAGTATCGTGTTATGTGACAGTACGGCTATAGGCGGTTAGTTTTATTTTATCATATCTGACAAACCGTCGATGACCGTTGGTTATCCCTATCATTACTAGGAAGCACATGATTTAGTGCCATATCACACGCCTCCGTTCGGTGATAGCTGTCACGGTAAACTCTATTCGAGTACTTTTTCTACACACACATACGCAGTGTTTACACACCCAATAAATACAGATACACCGTCGAGGGGCGTAAACTCAGTCATACAAGTACAGTGATTTTAGAATTCAGTGTCACAGCGCGCGCGCTGCTGGTATATCGTTGCTACGCACGGCGTATTTAGGGAGTTTTGTCAACAAATGCAAGGTAAATAAAGCTTATTTATACTAAGAATATGATATAAATCTGGAAAACGTGTTGTGTTGTCCTATAATGTTGTTTTTATTTAGGTAGGGATAGAAATATGTTATAAAAGTAACAGTAAAAGACATTATTCGAATGATATTTACCTGCTATTTTAGCTACCTACTAACTGTTTGTATTATAAGGATTTACGTATTATATTTTGCAGATGTCGTCTAAACGGAAGCAACTTGCATTAAGTCACCGTCGAGATCTTTTTGATAGTGAAAATGATACAGATGAAAGCTACCACGACCCGTTCAGCGATGTAGATGGTGAGTGCGGCTCAGATAAAAATTATGAACCAGATAACGCTGAAGGAGGCGAGAGTAGTGAATCTGACTACGAAATTTTTACTGAGAATAGACACAGGCGTATGGCTTTGATTAGAGTAAGTGAAAGCCCAAGCCAGTTGAATGATTCTAGTTTGAATGATGACAGTCCGGGATCAGAAGAAGAAATAGGTGAAAAGTCTTGCGATGACCAATCTGTGATAGAACAAAGCGAAGAAGAGGATATAATGGGAACTCCTAAAACCTTACGTACATTCCCGTGCCATAAGTGAAAGGCCTGGCAATGATCAACCTGTAATAGAGCACATCGAAGAGGGCGATATTACAAAGGGCTCCCAGGAACCTCGCCTACGTTCCCATGCTTTTGAATCATCTTATCTTCATCATCGAACCGATCAGATAGACCCAAATCTCTCCTCTACATTACCAAATCAGAGAATAGTTATCAATGAGCCTCGGCCAACTTCACCAGCCCCAGATAACGCAGAATGGGTAAGTATTACTGCTGATATTCCTGATTTTAACTTCAATCAAACATTACCAGGCCTACGCGTCAGCATTGATAAAGACCGAACCGAAAAAGATATTTTCGATTTATTGTTTACACCAGACCTTGTCGAGTATTTAGTGAACTGCACAAATGCATATGGTAACTCATTAGTTAACCAAAACCGGCCGCACACAAGATATTCGAGACACAGAGTTTTTAATGAGACGAATGTAGAGGAGATGTATAAATTTCTTGGTCTTTCCTTGCTTTCTGGGCAAATCCGTTTGCCTGAAAATCGAAAGTTATTTACTCATGCCGACCCATTATACTATCATCCGATTTTCAATTACGTAATGTCTGGCCGGAGGTACGAGCAAATTTTACGTTGCCTATGCGCATCAGATCTCAACGCAAAAGGACCCGATAAAATAAACGGCTTCATTGATATACTGACACGCAATTTCCGTCAAGTATATTATCCTGAAAAAGAATTATCACTCGATGAATCAATAATGCTTTTCCGAGGTCGATTAGTTTTCCGCACTTATATGAAAAACAAGAAGACAAAGTACGGAATAAAGTTTTACATACTAAGTTCTCATGATGGATATGCTTTAAACCAAATAATGTATTGTGGTAAAAAAGACGTTGATGAGTCCAGTACAGGTGGAAAGACTATTGAAAAACTTGTCTTACGACTAATGAGGCCCTATTTACTTAAAGGGCATGAATTATACATGGATAATTTCTACAACTCGGTGACGCTCTCCGAGAAACTTTTGGACCTGAAAACCCATACGTGTGGTACATTGAGAAGTAATCGAAAGGGCAATCCAACACTACTAACAAAAAAGAAACTGAAAAAAGGCGAACATCTTTGGCTACGAAAAGGCAAAGTTTACGTGAGTCATTGGAAAGATAAACGGCAGGTTTTGATGTTGACAACTATGGATCACCCTCAGATGGTAGAAGTTACCAACAGGTATGGGAAAAAACGCAATAAACCTAAAGAAGTCGGTCGGTATAACAGGTTTATGTCAGGAATTGATCGTTCGGATCAAATGATCTCTTACTATTCGTGTCCGAGAAAGACAATAAGGTGGTACAAAAAAGTACTCTTTCATATGTTAGATGTTGCTTCGTGGAACTCTTTCTTTTTATTCAAAAAATATATAAATACTAGTGACAAGAAATACGGATATATAGAGTACAGAGACAGGTTGATAAGAAGTCTCACGAAACTTGATGATAATGTAGTTGGGAAAAATCTTGTTCCAGTAAACGTATGGAAGAAATATCCACGAAATGCTCCTAAACCAGACACTCCAACACAGAATATGAGCGTTGGTCATTGGCCATTACGAATTCCAGCGCATAAGAACTCAAAAAAGAGGTATTCTTTTCTCAACTGCAGAGTTTGTCTGAGTCAAGAGCCTAAAAGACGTAGGGAGACAAGTTACCGATGCAGTGGGTGCCCTAATTCTCCACCATTATGTCCAGAATGTTTCGAAAAATGGCACTTAACTCTTAGTGCTGACATACACAAATAGTTTCTTCTGTGTTCAAATATTTTTTTTTACTTTATATTATATACTAAATAAGACTAAATAAGAATTTAAGGTACAAATTATTCAAGAATTAAGAAAAACATACTGTGATCAATAAACTTATAAGTATTAGTTTTTTTAGAAGTTTTATATTTTGTTATGTGATTGTGTGATCTTTAATTATGTTGTTGATACCTAATTAAGTTACTTTGAAAATTACTAAGGATCTCAATTGAGGAATGTTGAAGACTGATTACTGTAAAAGACAATAAAATTTAGTTCGATTTATTTGTGTTTATTGTTTTCTTTGTATAGAGTATCATACATGCACCTAAGTAGACCCCAAATGAATACCGTCAGGAGCCGTAGCTGTCACATAACCATTTTATATATAACTATTTTATGACATACCTCCTGCAGGCGGTACGCCTATGGCAGTATTGTCAATATACTCGTCAATTGAGGTACAAAGAATGACAAGCCGTTTATAGGCGGTCCAGCCTAAGACCGATGCTGCCACAAAATACATTTTTTCATCTATATGATATGACAGACCGTCTATAGGCGGCACCGTCTCTAGCCGAACTGTCATAGTACATTGTACATTAATATTCATAATATGACGGTCCGCCTGTAGGCGTTAACGTCTATAACCGTAATTGTCGTATCGCAAAACCAAAAAATAATGTAAGTTGGCAATACGGCAATCGACGATATGTTCAAATGTATGGAAATTTTAAATGTCATATCGTGAGATCAAAAAAATTTTGAGTGTCCCGGAACGTGTTATTATTATATAGAAAGAGTAAATATTATATCTCATTACCTGGCCGGCTTGATCCAATATATTTGTGTTTAACTCATTTTAGTGTCGTATTTCCGTTTCATTTCCGTTTCATCGAGTTTCAAATCACATCGATTCTAAAGAAGTTTCACTTCAAAAACCTTACTTACACAACTTATAAAGTCTTTGTTATATATACAACTAGCGGCTCACCCTCGCTTCGCTCGGGTATGTCGCTAGGTACGTTTTAAATAGATATAAATAGTTATTAGCCAGCGTTAGCCATATAAATTTTAATTTTTTTGTTAATCTTTCATTTTTTCTCTTTATTAACCTTCCGTGGAACTTAAGAAACATAGGAAAAAAAATTTTAGCCGAATTGGTCTAGCCATTCTTGAGTTCATTTTTATTTATATATAAGAATAGTTATAAATTCTTTGTTATATATAACAACTATATATATAATATTTACTCCTTCTTAAACAAAAGTTTACAACTATACAGCATAATACTTTTTTAGATTTACGCGAATGTAATAACTATACAGCAATTACACAAATTGTTAAGTATATATGTACCTACTAAAACAGACTTACTAAATATAAAGCCGGCGGCCCAAACAAGAATTTAACTGAAAGATTTAAAAATTTTGCACTAAGACTTACGAGATTTTGAATGATGATATAATTTAACTGAGTAATTACTCAGTTAAATTATATCATCATACAAAATCTCGTAAGTCTTAGTGCAAGATTTAAGCTGTTCAGTTAAATTCATGTTTTTTTTTTAAATTTCAAATGTAATTTAAAAAATGGTGAAGATTATTTCCTAAAATAAATCCTGTTTATAACTATACTATGTAAACATAAATAGGTAGGTACCGTTAGTCGGAAGTTTACCTTTTTAATATGATCATTTTTGTTTTAGAAAGTAACAAACTTTTCCCACCACCACACCCCAGAAGGGCGATCCACGAAGCTAAATGTTAGTTTCATAAATAAATAACAATAATCCATGTAAAAATGATTTCAAACATTGCTGTTACAATAATAATTTTGACGCTACAAATTCAGGTTTAAAAGTCATTTTCAATTTATTTGTGGTTTTTAAAACTATTGAAACCAATCAATTATTATTTCTCGATCGATAGATAAATTAAACATTGCACAATTATATATATTTTTTATTATTGAAGTCTCTCACTTATTCGCTCTCTAAATATTTTTATATGCGTTATAAACAAGACTATTTGCCTGCAGCTCATTCTGTCGTATTATTTTTCCACATTAACACATCGCAAGAATAATAAAATATTGCTCAACTTAATATGAGATAATTCCTAGTAGTTTCCTTATTTAGATTACCCTTTTGTCACTTACAAATAAATGGACTATTGCATGGATATTTGCATGCTCTATAAAAGAAATATATTGAACATATAGGTAGGTATATTGTACATGCAAAATAATTTTTAATTTTGAAATTAAATTCTATTAACAGTACACACTTTAATTTACACGTCTAATTTCTTAAGCCGTATCCATATGCCGCCTTGCGCAGCACACGCCAATGCCGTAGTCTTTATCTTCGTTGGAACTAATGTGCGGTCATCTAAGACCAACTCATACTTGTGCAACAATCTTACTAAGGCTAGTTTAGATTGGATGTATCCTTGACGGAGACCTAAAACATTCGCCATGATTGATTGTAGCTTTACAGCATTTATAGTGTAATAATTCAGAATTTTTATTTTTGCTTAATATAAAAAAAAGGAAATTTAATTTAATTAAAGCGACTTATTTGTAAAAAAACATTAGATGCAATTCAATTACCTAAACATTTTCTTGGACCTTCTCCAAATGGCATCCAATGACATGGATGCATATTTTTCTTTTTGTCCGGTGTAAATCTTTCTGGGTCGAATTTTTCAGGATCCGAGAAAATTTCTGGGTCCATTTGTATTGAGTGTATTGGGATGAAAATTAAAGTACCGTTCTCGATTACAACTTCAGTGTTTGGAATTTTATAATCCTTTGTGCATCTTCTGAACAATGCTCGCAATGGTGGATGCTTTCTCATTGTTTCTAAAGGAAAATAAGATTTACTTTTAATTAAGTATAAAATAATGCTAGCCTAGCTTTGCCTTAGCTTAAAATATACAAGCCTAATCCCGTTACCATATACCCGTGTTAGGTACACGTTAGCTATATTTTCACGGAGAGTGGCTAAGAACGATTTTCTGAAAATTCAATCAATCAGGCAATTCCTTAGTTTGAAAGTTACAATGACCATAATTGGATTACTATTGTGGCGACACAGTGCAAATATGCGACATCTTGAGCGTGACCGCGTTCAAAGTCCAAACTACTGCGTTCAAAACTAAATAAATACAAAGTTCCGGTCAGTGCTATTAAACTGATGAAGCATTGGTACGAAAACCAAACGAAT